ACCTTGAATATTCCAGATTTCTGCCAGGCAATTTCTTCAATGGTATCCCCAAGCTTATCAGCATGATCCAACCCTAAACTAGATATCCCTGAAACTTTCGGCGTTCTAGAATGATTATACACGTTGAAAATAAAAAAAGTTTGTAAAGCATGGGTGATTGTGGTTCTTAACTTCCAAAGTTGTAAAGTACCTAAAAAAAGGTCAGCTCATGGGTTATGGTTTAAAACGAGATAGTTTAGGTAGTGAACTATAACCTGTAGTTTACAAGGAAATCAGCTTTTTGGAAAAAAGAACAAGAACAAAATAAATTTACTATGTCTGCTCTTTGTGAAACAGAACGGAGGCAGTGGTGGCGCCACCACTGAACACGGGGTTTTTCCTCATTGTCATTATAAAAAGTGAAGCACATCTTTCATGTATGGTCTTTACTTGGACAAAATTTGAAGACGATCAAAGCAAGGAAATTGACCAAAGTGTGATAAACGAAGAAAAAGAATCTCTATGATTATAGATGATCTAAAATGTTTCAGCGCGCACCGTGGATACAAATGCCAACAAACTGCGCTATGCAGTTTAACTTACCGGAAAATATTCGTTAAGTCATACAAACCACCGACTCCAACTTCAATAACAGCAACATCCACCTATAGACGAATAGATGATTATTAAATGAACAAAAACGTAATTTCTACGTTAGAAGACTACGCCATTGAATCAAAACCGTAAGGAAAGCGAAATATAATCTTAATTCTATTCCGTTTAATCATCTTGTTCTCTCGAACTTTCCAAACGTCAATCACATTTTCAATTCTCGCTGGTAAACATTCTACCGGCGAACGTAGAAATAAATAGTTCTAGACTATGACTCGAAAATATTAAACGGACATATAACATTTTGATTTCCAATAGAATGAACCTGTTTAAAAGTTCGTACAGTATAGTATTTTTATATGTAAGGACAATATTAAAAGATTTGCTTTAAGCGACTATATCGGGCAGCCTATGTAGGCCCTACATTATAAACATCACACCTTTTCGGAACTTTCGTGGTGTTCTGGCTCCTACCAGTGATGTCAGTATATTAAATATCTTTGTCGCTTGTTCTTTACCTTTTCTTCGACGAATATACGAAGTGCCATGAGAAAAAAAACTCTGAAAAATGACGTTTTATTGCTACCATCAAATGCGCCTTCTATGCTCTCATTTGTTGAGTAAAAATAACGGGTGAACATTTCCTTGGAAATCTGTTGTCCGTTTATACGAATTCGTTCCCGAGGATCTACAAGATGTGGAGAACTATAATAATAAAAACATTTGTTAGGCAACTTTTTAGGATATTCGGACCATAGGGTTCTAGCGGAGAAATTAACGTCGCTATCCAACTTGTAGCAACTATAGCCATATACTATTTAGAAGCAATGTAGATAAATTTAACAGACACTACATACCGGTACGTACTGCTTTTAAATTGTCTGAACCATATACTTATCATTATTATTGTATAGTATTGTCAACAGAGTAATAATAATAATATGTTATATTTATATATCGCTTAATGCCAACAAGGCCTCTAAGCGCTTCATATTACTACCCCCGTTCATTGGATTAGACGCCTATGGAACACAATCTGTTCCATAAAGTTGCAGCAGCTACATCAGCGCATTTTGGCATTTAACCCTACCAGGTACCTATTTATACTCCTGGGTGGAGAGAAGCAATGTAGAAGTGCCTTGCCCAAGGACACAAGCGAAATACACAGCGAGGGGGTTGAAACCCCGACCTCGAGTTCCCACTGCGCCACAATGAAGACAGTGGTAACGATGGTGATTATGATGATGATAACGATAACGAAAATGAAGAAATAATATTAAGAATAAATTTCATGAGAATAACCCATAACTTGCAGCGCCATTGTGCTAAATTGCGCATGGGCGTGATCCGTGACTACCTAGCGGTCGTAAAGAGGCGCTCATGGTAGCTACATGTTCACATCATTCAACAACGACAGGGGCTGACATGAACCGGACCATAACATTGGGGTAACTCCCTATTCTTTCGAAGGATGCAATTGGTTCTTTAAAGTGCACACGAGTCAGATGTATGCACTGGACCTTCATTTTAAGTTCTTTTCCTAGAAGACTTGGTTCTACCAACCAAAACCATGGCGAAGAGCGGCTGGAAGCAGCGCCGATGTTAAGGCTGTAGCTAGCGGTGTCCCTGCCCTACCGCTCGGCCACTCGACTAGCCCCAAGAATGGTTTTAATGGTAAATGGCTTTTAATTTATTTAGCGTAAAATACAAAAAGTGTCTATGCGCTGTAAACACACGTGTACAAATGTTTGGAAATGTGAAAAATAATAATAAAAAATTAATAAAAAAATAAAAAAATAAAGATATATATTCAAGGTTTATTTATTCAACAAAAAAAAAATTTATTCAACCAAAAAAAAAAAAAGACAGAGGGCAGCATTAGCTGAAATCTCTGTGTACATAAAACAGTAAAAAAGGTATAATACAGTATATAAATGCAGCACACACAAAAAGATGAACGTTCCAAGCCAAGCCAGCACCAGCAGTTCTCGTCGCATAACCAGGGATTGATCCTATTGAACCCTGGTCAGCACCTGTTGAGTCTAGGCCATCTCGGACTCAGGCGCCTCTATAGCTAATACAAATTCTGGCATGGAAATGAAACAGTGATGTACAATACGATGGAACACGAAGGTGAGTCTTTAATCGAGCTTTAGAAACGGTAATAGGCCTTCACAATAATAGAGCACAGTAATAACAATTGAGTGATCCCATATATAAATCAATGGATCTGGGATATCAAAAAGAAGAAACACCAAAATATAGGAGTACTGACCTGAAAAACCCCGTTTTGAATCCACACGCGCGAAGTATACTTTCAACGAAGGAGCACGTAGAACCCTTTCCTTTAGTTCCAGTCACGTGAATAACATTCAACTTGTCTAAGTCAGTCGTGCTAACCTTCAAAAACAGTTACATTTTTAAAAATATTTTTTACTGATTAAATTTTAAAAATAAATGTGAGTGTTATATCATTGCGAAGGCGGTTTGGCGCAGTGGAATGGTTTGATTTTTGTTTAGAAATGCTTGAGACCATAGACACTAATTGAATTTGAGTTAAAAATTGCTTGTTGCTTTTTCTCTATATATTTTGGGAGTGGGGGGTAGCCACAGTGCTCTCTAGATTCGCCCCATTGGAACTTTGATCAATACATTCATGATTAAGCATGTAACCTATGCACCCTAATGACGATTTATGCATAGACCTAATTTATGCAACGCACGAAAATATTAAAATTAAAAATGCGTGCGCAAAATATTTGTTGAGTATATTGTTAGTCACACAATATTTTTGGGACATTGTCTACTTTACTGATATGCAAGGGTCCTAAAACATTTTCTTGCCCCCGGGCCCCATGACTCGTCTTTACGTCACTGACAAGCGTCCCACCCAGGGGGAGCATGGTGCTCTCATTCGCTTTACGGTACAGTACTTGAAAGTGGGGTGCTCCAGTTAGCAGCGTAGCTATGAGAACGGGTCCGAGTGCAAAATTAATTACCGGGTCGTTTGATGTGAAGTGTCAATCGATCATCAATGCTATACGGTAATATTCATGAGGAAGGGTGGAAAGGAGTACGTTTATAGATTCCTCTTTAACATTTAAAAATTTATTTATTTACCTTTGTAGCATAACCGCAAGACGGTTTCAAGTTTATGTCATATATATAGATATAACTTATAACACTTACAAACAACTCTGCCTTTTTGCGAAATAGTATTATCTCATCCTCTGAAAATGTATATGTATTGTTGTGGCTGCGGTTGTATTTTCTTATTTCTTTTATTGTCGGTAGGTTGTCAACAAGTTCCAGAACTTCCTGTGAATAAAAATTACAATATTATATTAACACTACTAAAACTACTAATAATAATTATGAAGAATTATAGCGCCACATTCAGTGTTCATGGCGCTAGGCCTACTTTTACAGGTGCTAGTAGCAGTAGCAGCATCATGAGCAGTAGTGGCAGTGGCATGATAAACCAATAACATCGGTTTGCCGATGACTAATTCAAAAGAATTAGTTGCTTTACGCGTCATTTGACCCCATCAAAGGTTCCACTTTCTTCAGGGGCTCATCCGCCGAGATTCGTTTGCACTGTCTAGGGTGTAGGCTTAGGCCTACCAAATTACTTTCTGCTTTCTCTGGCCGCCGTTTCGCCTACTGTCATTGCGATAGTAAGTTATTTTTCACCTAATTTTAACATTATACCTAAAATTATCTTAATATCTCACTATTAATATTTAAAGCAAATTACCATTCCATAAATAAAAAAAAAATATAATTGATTGATGAATTTTTCCTCGATAGTTGATTGATTATCGATTAATTGACTACTACGCTGTTACTGCTTCCATGAAAAGGAGTAAACAAATTTTATTTCCAATAATTAGGCTATTGTACTGTATATATACAACAGAACCTACCTTCCATGTTTTGTTACAGTAAGAATTCATCTTCCAAAATCGAGATCTTGGCAAGTCGTAACCGAATCTGAAATGCTCTTGTTATCCAGAAATACACAAATATAATACAATCAAAGTGTTTCGCGTGTGTGGGAATACAGACATTTGTTTTTTTAAATATACAAATCATTAAACGAGTTAATTAAAACAATTTAATGTGGCATTTTTAGAGTCTATTCTTTCGTTTCAAAAATTATAGCTTAAAACTTCCTGTATTTCCATATTGATTGAAAGCTGTCTAAATAACTAAAACTATGATCATATTATTTACCATTGTTTTGAGCAAGGTTTGAGAAAACTGTTTTGAATTAGTTCTTACCTAATTGCCGGTCATTAAAAGCGATACCATTTACCCATTTATTAGATGATTTGTGGTTTAATAATATTGAATAATTTAATAGTTCCTTATTTCTTTTATTTGCGCAGTATTTGACATTTTTTTAAAGTATATCAGTCATTCGTGGGCACCCATATTTCACACAATACACGTAATTAATATTAATTAATTATAGCATCAACAATTCTGAATAACTACATTAAAAAAAATAAATAGTCATAAAAAAGTAGCCTTATTGCGACGGTAAGGTTAACAACTAAAGAAATTAACCAATCGAACCTGTTTAACAATTCATTTTCATAGACTCTTTAATCAGGAGTGGCGCAAGGATTTGCCTTTTAAAGGGGGGGGGGGAAGGGGGTGTTTCGATGTCCCTGAAGGGAAAGGGGTGATGTTCCCGACGAGAGAAAAGTGGGCGTGGTCAGGCATCGCTCAAAATCTATCTAAAGTGTTCCCGGAAGGGGGGGCGAAGCCTCCAAAAAATATGACAATATTATTCAGGGGTTTCAAAGCCCTCAAAGACATATGTAATACCGTAGGCCTACATACATTCTTTTTTCTCCATCCCCGACGAATTGTGGCTTTCTCCCCTCCGCTGGCGCCACCCTGTCTTCAATACAGGTGGAAATTTTCCCTTTATTTTCTTACAGACATTTGATTTAATAATTTTAAGGTATTTTTTCGCTATTCAAAAATAGCTAAAAGTTATCGAAAAAGTCATTAGGAAGATTGTTATTAAACAGGACTTGCCTTACGGAAGCCTAATGTCCCCGACCGGGGAGATGGGTGGTGGGGGTGAAGCAATGTCCCCGACGAGAGCTAAGGGCGTGGTTGGGCGTCGCTCAAAATCTTTCGGAAGCGGTCCAGAGGGTGAAGTCCAGAAAACTATAGGAATTTTGTAATGTTAACCCTCCCCTTAGATATTGAAAAAAAGTGCAGGATTACGTAAGTGATAAACTGGAAGAGAACGAGGAAAGTAAACTTCAAAATTCCCATCATACTGAGAATTCATACACTTATACAGAAATAATACAGTAAGTCAAGCAATTTACGCCTATCAGCTAATGGAATTAAAATATCTTTACTAATAAAACCAAACTTACGAGAATAATATCTACAAAACTTGTCTTGCACCCGCTGAAGTCAGCAGACTGTACACGAAATAGAATTAAAAATAACACAACAAAATTCAAGATTTGACCTAACTAAAGATTTATATAGAATAACTAAAGACTTATCATCAGTTATATGTCTGCAATGCCTCCAAAGAAAACCAAGTAACCTATTACACTTAGAAACAATAAAATCAATATGACGACAAAAGGTTAATGGACTGTCAACGAAAATACCAAGGTCTTGGTGAACGGTGACTCTTTCAAGTGTTACAGCATTAATATCAAAATTAGAAATAATAAGTTTCTTCTTTAAAGTAATAGACATAGTTTTACATTTGGAGGCATTGACAGACATAGACCATTGACTACATCAATTAATAAGAGCATCTAGATCTTCCTGTAAAAACAACATATCATTAATAGAATAAACAGACCTAAATAATTTAATATCATCAGCAAATAGTAGAAATTTTGAATGACACGGAACAAAGGAAAAATCATTAATAAAAAATAAAGGCCCTAAGATAGACCCGTGTGGGACTCCAGATAAAACTGGGAGCCACTCAGGTGTTTGACCTTCAATAGTCACCCTTTGTAAACGATCACATAAATAACTTTTAAAAAATAAAATAATATCATGACTAAATCCAAACTTTTCAAGTTTGTACAAAAGCATATTATGGGAAACCCGATCAAACGCTTTGACCATGTCAGTATAAATAACCTCTAATTGAACTCTAGAGTTTATCACGTCATAAGCATGGGATAAAAGCACAGATAGGTTGGTTTCACAAGATCTTCCAGGATAAAATCCATGTTGATTATCACTGATAACTGGTGAGATATATGATTAAAAATTTGGTCATGTAAAACTTTTTCAAATACCTTAGATAATGTTGGCAACAATGAAACAGGTCTAGAATCACCTTTAAAGATTGGAAACACATTTGCTTGCTTCCAAATTTTAGGAAAACGTTTTTCGGAAACACATCTCTCAAATAAACATTTACAAGGAAAGGAAAGAGGTTTTCTGCCATGGATAAAATGACATTACTTAAACCATCATTTCCAGAAGCCTTGTATGGGTTAATGTCTTTTAAATGTTCATTTATGCAATCTGTTTTAATATCAAATTTAGAAAAATTATCAAGTGGGTAATATGAAAGATCAGGAAGATTTAGGTCTTGTATGTTTCCATTTTGTTTTTGACGCTACGAGCGTTTTGATAGTAGACTTTTAAAGAACTATTTTTTGACTTGTATTGTTGACATTAGGTCCTGCATTAACTTCTATATCACCCCCAAGTAAAACGGTTTTAATACGTAGTACATACCGAGTTTGAGTAGTAAGAAATCGCTTTTCCGAAAATTTTAATTTTCTTCTTCTGACGTAGCAATTTCCTATTCCGAAGGCCTGAATAAATTGCACATGAATTCAAATAATAGTATTTGGAAATCGGATAAAAATCGTCGTCGATATTACAGCTAAATCCATTGTAGATTGAGTGAGTATCATTATTAAAGTAATATTGCACACAGGGAGAAGAAAAAGTAACTGTAATTACAGCGAAGATACACAGCCATGCAGCAGGTAAGGTGGCCATGATGAATTCCTTAAACAGTTGGACTTAGAGAACATCTATGGCGCCTCATACTTTCCTGAATCTAAAACACATGCGCTGAAGCACACAAAGTTACAGTAGTTCAAGTTATGCAAATCCACTTTCTTTCCTTTTAGATACTATTAATGTCCATGTTACTCTCTGTTGTTTTAACAGTTTTTGTATTTATCATCTCAAATTGGTCATATTTAACAGTTGTGTACGAACTCTTTCTAAGTAAAAAAAAAAAAAAAAATATAGAAACTTAAGCTAATTCTTTTTGGCTTTAAGGTCATAATTTTGCATGCTTTAAGCCCCTACATCATCAGATCAAAGTATGCAGTAATCAAAAGTTTTGGCCTTCGACGTAAGGGCAGTTGTTGTATTCAAGATGCTTCGAGTTTTAAAGCAAGCAACGTTCTGTACACAATCTCTTTTCTAAAACAGTATAATCGATAGAACAAAATAACCAGTAAAAGTAGGCCTAAATAACCAAAACAAGTGTCAATGGTTAATAAAATTGTCGTTGAAACATTCATAACCACATCTGTGCCACGGTTGATTATGACAGCTGTCCAATATGCAGTGGCATATCTAGAAGTCTTGAAATGGAGGTGCTAATGGGGGCGCAAAGGTGAAGTGGGGAAGGGCTCGATGATCAGTTGAGGGGGCGCTACTTCGCAAAATAAGGCGATTTTTAACTACTTACGCCACTGCGTCTAAGGTTTTAGACAGGAGCGTTTAATAATTAATAATTAATTAAATAATTATTACCATTAAACTTAGAATACTGTAGTTTTGTTTTTTCTACCTTGAAATTCCTTGAACAGTTGGGAGAAGAAAAAGTAACTGTAATTACAGCGAAGATACACAGCCATGCAGCAGGTAAGGTGGCCATGATGAATTCCTTAAACAGTTGGACTTGGAGAACATCTATGGCGCCCCATACTTCCCCGACTCTAAAACACATGCGCTGAAGCACACAAAGTACGTGTTTCCTCGGTTCGGTGTGGCATAAAAGAGGTTAGATAGTAGTAATTCGTCTCTGCTGAGAACCCGACAAGAAAAACATCAGGTAAGTATGTTTGAAAAATATGTTTAGCCTGGTAATATAGCGTTAGAGAAAATCTTGATACATCTATTATGCGAAAAAGATATCAATGCCTGGGCCAACTCCCTGAGAAGGCTAGGCCTAGCTAGGCTATGCTGTTCTTTCTGGCCCTGATGAGAAAGCCCTTACACGGCCTATCTAGGCCTACTAGATGGGTAGAAGGCTAGGCTAGCTAGTTTTAATACTACAGTACTTCCAAAATACCCCCTCTACTCTACCAGGCATAGGGCCTAGGCTCTAAATAGAGGCCACAAAGGCTAGACTACTGCTACTGCTGTACTACTACTAGGGTAGCCTATGCCCTGGGCTGTATTAAAGCCATGCTGGGCCAGACTGTAGGCTAGGCCCTAGCCTAGGCCTAGTAGTAAGGTCTGCGCAAAAATTTGGCCAAGAAATCCGTCTGCGCATTTCGAAAACAGTAAAGACCAATTTTCGAGGAGATTTTACCGAAAATTAGTTTGGGCTTTATCCAAATATTAGTATATAACCAATGGCAATGCAATTATTCCGCTTTACCTTTTTTTCTTGGGATTTTCCGCGCAGATGCCACTGCTATGAAAAATATACAACTGTTTTTCAATAATTTTTATCTCAAAACCTCTTTCCAAGAATGACGAATTGTAAGACTGCTGTCAGTGTTCTACAAGAGTTATGTGCCAAGAAAGCTGTCACACCAGTTTACGAAACAATTGGACAAGAAGGTGCCTCACATCAGCCGACATTTACCATTCGCTGCACTGTGGGAGATGTGACTGGGACCGGAGAGGGCCACAGTAAGAAGTCTGCTAAGCAAGCGGCAGCGGAAGTAGTTCTCCGTCAGCTGGAGGTACCAATCCCTGTGGTGGCAAAACAAGAAGGTTCACAAACATCAGTGGATGGTACTGGGTAAGCTTTTGATACATAATGTTACATCATTTATATAATGTATTATTATTAATTTTTGTATTTTATTGCTGATAAGAAAAAGATATACCATACTTTTATTTGAAATGAACACCACTGGGCATTTATTGTTGAGCAGTGTTTTGAGGGGGAATTTATTTGAGGAAGGCATTTTTTCAAGGGAGGTGTTTATGATTTGTTGTAGTGTAAAGTGGATACGTATATACTCAAATCAAGGTAATTCAACAAAAGGACGCACATCTCCGCTCTCGAACATAGCGCATGCGTACAGTCCTTTGATCTTTACTGTGGCATCGACAATCCGATACTAGTTGCGAGTACAGCCGTCAATTATTAGTCTATGCGNNNNCAGCCGTCAATTATTAGTCTATGCGTGCCATTCGTTTTATGGTGTTAGTTTTTATTTTATTAATTTTGGGTACTTCGCAATGTCTGTTACATTTGATTTTTTTTTACCGCGAGCTTGTTCAATGCTTCTATAAACTGCAATTTGATTTGTTAAAATTGACCAAGAAAATGAAAAGTTATAGCAATTCAAAATTTACGAATTTTATAAAATTTCATGTTCTTATGTAACATTAATCTGTCATTTTGACAATGTTGGCATAAGGTGCCGAGGAATGGTTTTTGTGACGTTCAGCGTGTAGGGACGCACGTGCGCCTAGGATGTCGATGCCAGAGTTATAACCTTTGATGTCCCGAGATGTGCGTCCTTTTGTTGAATTACCTTGCTCAAATAGATGCCCCTTAATTTCACTGTAAATGTGGAACTACAACACATAATTATGTCAAATGTGTTGTGTAATTCTACTGGAGTATAACATTAATAGAATGTGTTAAGAATGATGTTGCTTCCTTTAGTTTTGTTTACAGTCATTTAGGGGTGGAGGTGGAAGGGGGGGGGGTTATTTGACAAACTAAAAAATAAACGTCCTGGGCATGTATTCCAAATGAGCTTCTGGAGGGGAGCCTTTATTCAAAGCAGGCCGTTTATTCGAATAAATACTGTATTTAATTATATCTACCTATAAAGAAACAATGTTTCAAAAATATTTAATATGATACTGTATAAAAATATACAATCTTATTAGTGGTATTGGCTTGCATTACAGTAAATAAAAATCTGAATTCGAAATAGAGATACTGTACAAAATAGGAATTTTGATTGCCAACTTTAAATTAGTCATTGTTAGGTATACATTTTATGGTATACTGTAGTATCATGAATGTATCAATTACTGAAGTTTGAATCTCTAGAACCCTAGGTTGAATAAATTTATAATAATAAATAAACAGTAGAAAAATTTTTAAACATGGTCATTGGATAATGTCTTGGTAAAATCAGCTTCCAATTTGGTCAGTCAATGACATTATTTTGCACAAGACAGTAATGGATAACCAATGTTTGCAACTATTTCATTTTCTTTCGTGTGAATTACTTCCCAGAACTCCAGATGCCTCCAATCCGGTGGGCGAACTCCAAGAATTAGTGACGTATCTGGGCTGGAGGAAGCCAGAATACGAGGAATGCGAAGAGAAGGGCCCACCTCACGCTAAAGAGTTTACCATTAGCATTCAGATTGGTACATTCATTGAAAAAGGTAAGCTATATATACCATCTTATACACTCCCACCTCTTACAGTACAAGCCAACATTATAATTACCCTCTCTAAAAAAAAAAAATTATTTTTTTTAAAGAGGGATAATTTTCAAAACCTTAACCTTTTCCTTTAACATTTTGACCCTGAAATCTTACCACCTCTTCCTTAGGTCGATATGTATCACTACACTAAGTGTTATGACGATGCATTTGTTAGTTTTTGCATGGTCCTGCTAAAAGAAAGACATACAGACAGACAGACAAAAAGCAATGATTACATAATCTCCTTGGTGGAGGTAATTATGCTCAAAAAAAGAGTTTATTATTAGATGAGGCATACATTCTAATAAATTATAAAAGTGCATGCTTACTTGCATGTTATTTTGTCTTGTATCATCATTCTAATAAATTTATTTATTTCACTGAAACATGTCTTTATCCTCCTGACATGTGTACATCATCTTTGTTCTTTGCATGTGTAGGTATTGCAAAGAGTAAACGACTGGCCAAAAGACTAGCAGCTGCTCAAATGCTGACAACAATCAAATCCTTACCGCCAGACACTGATCCTGGCCAGACTACCAAGGTCTCTCAAGATATCCGTACGTTAGTGGAGATGAAGGTAATCAACATCACAAACCTTCTGATTTGAATTCATTGATTGGTTCATAGTTGATCATGTGCTCTGAACCAATTGATGATCTTATGGATTGAGACAATTATTGTGTAGTAGTAACAAAAAACAAGAAAGTAGTTAAAAAAAGGAAACAGATTTTTTATTTAAAATATTAGTACCTCGGTCAGTTGGTAATATGTCTATAGATGTATTTAGTGTACAATGTAATTCTTGTGGCTCATTTGCATATATACAAAGGATATGAATTTACATGTGATTTAGTAACTCCTGCATCTATCTAGGGATTATAAACGTACATCCAGGGTAGGGATGTAACTCTGCATCCAGGTAATTTCACAATATTTTAGTGGAAGCATACCCCACCATAAGACAAGACTTTTTTTTATACCAAAATGCAATTTCATTTTTTAGCCAGTTAGCACACCATCCACTAAGAAAAAAAAAATTTCTTTTAAAAAATAAAATTTTATATTAATTTTTTACGCCCTCTACCCCTCTGAAATCTCTAAAAATATGGTATATATACATGAGAGAACAACATTTTATTAATTATTTTTCTGCCCTCCTTTGACAATCTTTAAAAAAAAATAAGTTCACAAAACAAGATATGAAGTAAGTCTAACCTAGTTTTCTGAACTCTTGTAACTTGGCTTTCACATTATTTAATTTGGCTTGCAGCAAAAAAAAGGAAATGCAAATAATGCTGCAATTCAAGCCCACAAAAACCAGTTGAACCTACTGCAGACTGCTTCAGGTGAAAAGATTGAGATGCTTAGAAGTCAAGATGTAATGTCCCACCATGGTAAGCGTTTGATTCACTTTTCATATGAAAAAACAAACATCACAATGAACATTAACTAAAACATTAACAAAAATTAACTTTTATTAACATTTTACAAAAATATTTGTACCATAAAACCGATTTTTTTCTGATAGTGTATGCTTCTTCGACTTCGACTGGACTAACATTGTCAGCCTAAGAAAACAAGATTGATGAATGGATGATTTTTTTTTAAAATAAAATATTTTTATATTTTAGATTCCAACTATTGCTCGATGCTTCAAGACCTTGCGGAGGAACAGAACTTTGAGATACGCTACATCCCGATAGAAGAGACAAGTTTGACCGGTCGCATGCAATGTCTAGTACAACTGAACATGGCACCGGGAAGTGGAACACCGTTTGCTGTCTGCCACGGCACTGCAGACACGCTTGACCAGTCAAAAGCCGAGGCTGCTCTTAACGCGCTCAACTTCCTGAAGGTTTTGTCAAAGAAGGGGTTGCCAAACTCCAATCAGTGAGAAGGGTATCGTGAGATATAAGAATACGCTGTCCTCCCATTCTGATGAGAGGCACATCCACTAATGTAATTAGCTCAAAACATCAGTAGCTTTGCCCACCGAATAGTGGACGAACTTGTGGTCGCCTCTGTAACGTAGAAAAACCACAGCTGATGACCCGGTCTTGAGGGCAGGTAAAGTGAAGGGCAGGATAAACCAACCTATGTTCTTGAAAATTTCATATTTGGTACATTGCACACACATATATTTTTTAATTTAAAAAAAACAATTTTTAACAAGGTCTAAATGCGAGTAATAATCGAATCCAGTCACAAAGCAAAACCAAAAAATATGTTTTTTTTAATATTCAAAATAATTAATTAGATATTTTATAGATTCAGATGCAATAGCTAAAATTATATTTTAAAAAAGTGTTTTATCGTGTAAAAATTATAAGAAAGTAAAATATTTGTGTACCAATTCTGGCAAACACGTTTTTCTTTGCACCCAGAAGTGAAATGTAATAAGATAAGATATTGTTCAAATAAACCTCATTGATTATGATAGTGCATAAAATCACATAGTAACAGTGGCTGCTCCGTTGGAGTTCTCTCTGGTACACTGCTCTGTGATATATATTTTTTAGAGTGAAATCTTATCCATGAAGGATATACTGTACGACCCTTTTTTTTCGCGGTCCTATATTTTCGCGATTTTACAATTTGAAATATTTTCTGTCCTTTTATTTTCGCGATTATACAATTTCCAGTAGTTTTTAACATGGTGCAGAAACCTAACATTATGTTCTTTTAGCCTATATTATAGCTGGAGCTCCCGATTTTGGTGGGGGTTTCAGAGCTACCTTAGGTAGGCCTAGGCCTACTTCAGCGACTCCAGCCTGCCAGCTAGCTTGACCAATGTTTTTCAAATCAATAGTTCACATTTGTGGCGATAGGCCTAACATTCGTACCAAAGAAGAAGCAACAACATTGATATGTTTTATAAAAAGATGTAATAGTTAATTGCCAATTAATGAAAATTCCGAAAGGTCCACTGATTAATCTTAGATAAGATAGTATAATACAACATATCGAATTGCACGCCATCGTGTCGGGATTCAATATTTCAACATTAATTATGTCATCATCGGGAATGGAATGGAAATTCCGTATTGTAGAAGAAATACAATGCTGTGATGTTTATTCCATTTAAGGTAGGCATATGCTTAGCTAGGAAAATAGACCACCACTTGTACTTTGTCCTGTCTGGCTGTGTGAAGTGTGATGCAAGCATGATGTACTGGCCTAGCCAAGATAGCTTAACATTTTCAGAATAAGAATATGACGTATCTTTTATATAGTACTGCATTTAACTTTTAAAATGTGATTGAATGGATGAAAAATAATACTGAAGAAGCAAGACCGTTTCCATGAAATCTTTATTGAAGGAATATCAGTTCAATACTAGCAAGGCCTATCTATAGCCTTGTTTTGAAGACGAAAATCATCATTCAGAATTTCGCACGCCCTAAACTTTCACAATCGTTGTTTTATCGTGAAAATTAAGGGGAGTGCAAAAAAAAAGGGTCGTACAGTAATAATTTGATGACGTACAGTTCCAATTTTAATTGTCGTTCATCAGCGAAGTTGATAAAAACTAGTGGCATGTAAAAAAAAAATATTTGGCTTTTATACCAAATGAAAGTTTACCTAATATGGTTACTGTTAATGTATATTCATTCACCCATCTCTTTTGTGTGTGCAAATGGCTGACTTTATCTTGCCCTTCACGTTACAGTCACAAAAAGCTGTGGTTCTAATCATAGGTATCATTTGGACAGCTACATAATACACAATATTCATTTTAAATTGTTTTTCCATAATTTTGTTACATTGAAAAGAAAATTCTCACAAAAATAAAAATGATTTTGTGTGCTATCTAGCTCTTTTAATGGTGAATAGGGATTATTGTATTGTATTAAACAGATTTCATTGTTTATTGGAAAAATAAGAACATAAAAAAAGGTGTGTAGCAGGGGTCAAAGTTCATTGAATAATCTACAGCATTTTTAAATAATATTATTTCTTTATTTCTTTATTTATATTATGTTATTCCATGCATTAGAATAAATAAATACCAATTATTTTTTGGAAACAAAACAAATTGTACAATGCTTTAGAAATAGATAATGAATTTTGGTCCATGGTACTAAACAGTAGTGGTGGTTAACCTTTCCAAAAAGAAAACAATGATAATATTTTGCGAGTGAGCTAAGGAAAATGAGGAAGTGTGAATATAAAAGCAGGAAACTTCCGAAGAAAGATAGGCTTTCATATATACAGTATGTATGAATTGCCATTAAGAAAAAGTTTGTATTGTCTTTTAAAATAACCTAGGACTATATGAATGCTAAATTATAACATTTGTGCATGGAACTGGAAAGGAAAGAAAAATTTAAAGACATAAAAAAGGACAAAAAAAAATGTGTTAAGAAGTACTTCAACCAGTTTGTGTTGTTAATACTCAGTATATTTTATCTAAATGAATACTATCCAAGCAGTTAGTTTAGGATAATTTTCAATTTTCATTGTTTCCTTTGCTTTCTATATAGTATTATGGCTAAAAAAACCTGTACCTAACAATTCTAAGCAGATGAAAACATTCTGAATAATAATATGAAATACAAAACTGTTTAATTCCAAAGGATTGTTTTTGCTTAAAAAATAATTAGAACATTTAAGTATTGGATTTAAGTCATGAGTGATAATTTTAGTTATGTTAAAAATTATACTTTGATCTTCATAATTTTAATTATATAATGCTTTATAAAGCATTTGTTTTAAAAGAAAATGTTGTGTTAATACTTTACATTAGTGATTGGATGAGATTTATAGTCTGTATAAGGGCTCTATATTAGCTAGTAATCATGTTTTAAAAATTGTAGAAAATAGTGCATTAATGCACTTATAGAAATATAGAATGTAGTGTTTTAGTGGTTTATTATACATATATACCTACAGTACCTGCTATAACAGTAAAATAATTATTTGTTTTTTAACTTTAGATTTGTTCTGTAAAGTCAACGGTTGTCGGCAAGCGTGATTCTCTAGAGAATGCAAGGTCATGACACACATGCATTTTTCTACCGACAATCAGTAGGTGTCTCATCAACCCTAGCGCTGACAGGGAGCAGAGTTCATACAACACAGCAAGTGCCAGCTGAAGGGTTACCTGGTGCTCTGTATGTGATTGTACCCTGGATTTAACCTTCTGAAAATTGTCTTTAACTGTTAGTAGTACAGTCTTGCTTTGTGAATTATCCAATTCTGGTGTCAACGATAAATTAATGAATGTCGAACGTCTTATTGTGTCTCCTTTTATTGTTTTGTAAACTATGGTCATACACCCTTAGTGTTGGATTAAAAAATGAGCAACGAACTATTGCTACCTCAGATCTCGGCTTTTAATTTTAATAGCTTTGTAGCACACTTTCAACAGTATGCAAGCGCCTGGGTGCCTAAAATATTGTTTGCACTTTTTGAGTGGTGCTTATTCAAAGTGGAAACTGAGGGGGAGCTTATGGAAATATATGAAAATTGGGAACTTTTATGGGAATTCGGAAATTTCAAGGGGTGCTTTTTGAATGAAAAAAATTACATGAAGACATTTGGAAACCTAAGATCACGAATGGTTCTGGTGCAGAAAAGATAATCGTCCAGATGATGGTTTGTGACAAGAATGCTGTGAGTTTCAACAGCAGATGAAATTGGTGGTGATGTATAAGCTTGTTGGCCATCTGCCGTTTGAGATTAGCAGGATCATTGCAGGGTTTCTTGCAAACTCAGATAAAAGCGTGCTAAAGGTGCTAATTATCAGGAAAGAAAAAGAAAAGTAGGACTAGACAAAGTAAGAAGAGGAAAGTTGGAGTATGGTATGCTGCAACCGATATTTAGGAGCAAAACCTCAAATTTTCAGGCAAAGCATGTTTTCATTCTGTTCGCTTTTGGATGTTACCGATATAACTACATTTATTAAGGTATCCATAGCCAAGGTGGGTGTCTGTGATCTTATTTTTGTGTGGGCAGATATTGGACATCAGACAAGTAAAGAATGTGACGTCTTGCACTTGTATCCTTCAGTTATCTGGTACATACAGATATTGTACTGAACTGTGATAAGAAACACAATACACAAAGCAAATTTTAAGAGGCACCGCGTAGACACCACAAACTTGCACTTCCAAACTAAAAATGCTAAAATTTCAAAGCAGTGTTCCCAATTATATGTTTGCTGCTTTAAGTTCTCTACACGTTTCTGTCCCCCGATTCATTTTGCCATGTTGTTGTTGAATGGAATTTGTACACAAAAACTAAGAGCATATTGCTGTTTTTTGATTTATTTTTTTCTGGAATTTTGAATAAACATGATTATACAATATAAAGGTATTCAAAAGAAGTGTTGCAACACTTGTCTTTTTCCCCCCATTTTTATAACTCATTAGATTTAAAACCATTTTTTTTAAATCTCCATTGACAAGAACACATTTCTTGTAACAAAAACTAACATTTTCACAAATAATAATACTGTATTTGAAAAAATATAAAGAGGAACCCCAAAACATAAATCTCAATATCAAACTCACAATATGACAAAATACAAAACTCTTTCTATATCTTGAGCTTTTGATTAAAAAAGAATTGGAAGCTACATCAACAAGTAACTGTCTTCCACAAGTGTGGCATAACACTACTACAAGTCTCAATATGAGACCTGAAGCGAAGTTAATTGATATCTGGTACTGGTACAGGCATTTATAATGTTCCTCTTCCTTGTGGTTATTAAACCCAAGCTAAGCATCTGTAACACACCATGTGTGAAATTGGGGCATATCTAGAATGCTTTCGCCCAGGGTCGTAAAGTCAATCAAAGACCATGATTTGAGGCAATGGTTTGGCAAAGGTTCCCCTTCTCTATAGTGAGAGGCCTAGGCCTACTCCCCTGGAAAATCTAGGGTATTAGCTATTTTAATCTGTTATCTAAGATTTCACGTTTACTATTTGGCTGCAACAGGGGTAGAAGTAATTAGTTTGCACCATTCGTCACCCTTGGATCTGACACTGGGAATATAGAAAAAATGCATTATTTAAATATTAAAGGTTTGTTTTGTGAAAAGTATACGATATATGTCATTAGATATTTTACTTTCTAAATAAAAAACAAATATTACAATAAATCTACAATTTGCTCAAATAATAGTCTTTTATAATTATCTGTTTTACAATATACAATTTGAAAGCTTTATAGTTTGTAAGTACACAATAGTAGTATTATATAGTTATATATTTTACAAGTACACAGCATAGTATACTGAAAGACTGACCTTAAACATGGCAATTCATACAATGGCCACACAAGTTCTCTGACACTTAATGTATCTATAATAGATACAGCTCAGCACAAAAATATAAAAAGAAAACTTCACAATGTATCATCCATGACATTAAGTCACTCAACTCAGAACATATCAACATTGCCATTACAACATTACATTTTTTTTTGGTTTGCATTGCCTTGTGGCAGAAAGAAAGTAACAATAATCAAATATTTATAAATTTTTTAAAAATACAGTATATATAATGTTTATATTATAAACAAATAGGTAATGGCAGAAACAGTGCTTGAATACAGAAGGATATGAAGTTATGAACCTATCAGGCATAGTCCTGTATATTACTTGTTAGCATTCGTTTATCAATTGTTTTATTCCTTAATCGAGAATCAGCTATAATTATTGAATGTGAATATTGGATGAATCCACAACAGTCATATTTTAACAAACTAACTGAATCCTTTCCGAGCCACTAGGGCTCATAGAGCTAGAGCTTATAATCCCGAGTTTCTGTAGTGTAAAGCGAATGAGAGCTGTAGGCCTACTCCCCCTGGACGGGACACTGTCTGTTGCAGGTTAGTCCCCAGGAGTTTGCTGGTACAGCTGGGTGGACTGAAGCAATGTAGCTGAAGTGCCTTGCCCAAGGACACAAGAGAATCTGTACAGCGGAGACTCAAAACCCCGACCTTACAATCAAAAGCCTGAACCTCAACCACTGTGCCAAACTGCCACTACAAATATTTTAACAAAGGGGAGGTGAAAATCCATTTGAAAAGAGTAAACATTGAGAAAAAATAAAGACTTATTTAAAAAGGTAGTGATGATGAGATATGGGCAACAAATGAAGGTTTTAAGTACGGTACATGACTAATATGGTGGTTTCATAGAGGAAAAATTAGGCCCAAAAATTGGCAGCATAATAATAAATTGGTTATAACTTGTGGAATTAATTAACTGCTGAAGGATGCAAACCAAAGACAACAAAATGCAGTAATATCATCTCCAAAATCTCTTTTCTTTTGTCGACAGCTGCTGAAACTATAGTTCTTACAATAGTAAAGCCACATTTTGTTTGGCTTACAACAAGGCAAAACTGGCCTAGGCAATGCTAGCAAAATCAAAAAGCCTGTTTAAGAAATTTCATATGGAATGAAATTAATGGTTGCCTTACCATTCAAGTTTCCTTCATCAAGGATTAAACAAACAATATGTAACTAAGACATAATTAATAGGCCTACTTCGGCAGCTGGAACAGATACACCAAACTTATCCCTTCCAATTTTTCCTTCTGTAAAGCCTTCAAGGTGTCGATCAGAGCTCAAACACATGAATGCCTTCTCATTTTCACTGTAGCAGTATTAAAGCATTAGGAAAACCTATAAGGTTGAATGGTTATTGCTGTATCTGCAATAGAGACGTTAAATTCTAGACTCTATTCTTTGAACTCTTCATCAACAGCACCCTCTCCGCTTGATCGTACTGCAATTTCCTCTGCTCTGTCCGCTTGTGATTTTACACTTTCCAATTTCAAGTTTTTCATTTCTGTATTGCCACCATTTTCACATCTGTCAATGTTTGATTCAATGTGAGTATATGTCTCTCTAATCTCATCCTCACAATGCTTACTGATTGTGAGGTTTTGTAGAGAATTACTGATGTAGTCTTCTAGACTATTTGTAGTGGATGAACGTTTGAAAGGGCTTTTTTGAAATGTCTTCATTACGTCCAATTCAGGAAGGCTATCAAGAAGAGTAGTGCTAGTATCGCTGCATGGAGATGTCGGAGCAGACGAAAAATAATCAGAATCACAGGAAGCGGAATCACTCATGGAGTCATTATCTAAAAGAAAAAAACAGGAAAAAGATAATTTGAAAAATAAATCCCATAGGCAATACTTTTGCTCTTTTTACTATGAAAATCTTAAGATTAATTTACCACTAGGCAAGTGGCTATCTGCAAAGAATACAATGTAAGAACACTATTTATAGTTATGCATCTCAATTAATTGACAAGAAAAAGATTTTAGTTTTGGGAAAGCTAATACAGTACAATACAGTATACTTAAACAGGCCTACCACATAAACAATATGTCATATAGTTAATTGAGAACTGGCTTTCTCAAAACAGTCTGTTATAAAAACATAGTCTTGCATCCTATAATAATAAAATATTCTTTTTGTCTTGTGCAAATATTGAATTACAAGGGGCTGATTTCATCCTCAGGGAGGGTCTTGGAAATTGAGATTGAGAAACTAAGGGGTGCGAAAATTGAGAATGCAGAACTTGGGGGTGCGAAAATTAATAATGCGGAACTAAGTCCCTAATGAAATTTTAATGGTCATTCTTAACTCATTTTAAGTGAAACTAGTCTTGCCATTGGTGGGATTACATCTGCATCCGCCATTCCCTCATCATCCCCAAGCATGCCAATGAATATATATTTCTTTAGCACCACACAGAACTAGGCTCTAAATCTTTAATACAATGATATAGTAATTAATTAATTGGTCCTAAGCCAAATGCAATTACAATTGCTACTGAAAATCGTCATTGACATAGGTTAATCAGCTTAAACAACACTAGCTTTCTTGGAATCAGCACAACAACAAAAAAGTGAACCACATCTTAAAGGCTTATGTAACCATGGAGACAGGTCACAGATATGATAATGAATTGCTAAATAGGGAGTGAAAAAAGACAATGTTTTTTACAGGGATACAGTATAGTCAGATATAAACCTACAAATTAGCCACTTTCCAATAAAAAAAAATTAATTGTATTTATGTTGTCACTTCCTTGTTTATGGAGATGATCCCTGCTTTTGGAGAGAATCATCTTCTAGAGCTGTTTAATATTATTTGTTATTATTACCAGTAATTTTAACCATCCTGCTAACAGAATATTCAGTGGTCACTGATGTAAATTGATTACATTGACACTTTAGCAAATCAGTCAGTATAACAGATTATGTTTAATAGTATTACTGAGGCCTATAATAATATTATTAATATGGAGATATAAGTATAATAAAGAAACAGGGTACTTTTCTATTCTACATAAATTTTACATTATATTCATTGTTGTTTATTATTATTTAACTGTTATATATCACAATTCATCAGTGTTATTCTTATTTATATGCTTGCTTCTCTTTAGATTTCTTCTACTTTAGATCAAAGATACTAGAAATACAAGATAGAGCACTCGTATAGCAGAAGTGAGGCGGTTATACGTCACATCTTTCACGCAAATCCAGTCGTAAGCAACGGCCATCAGTTTCCAATTTAGCAATTTACACACATTTATCCAGTTCACATCCAGACGTACAGGGCGCCATTCTGTTGCTAAGTAAATCCAGACGTACGCGGCGCCTTTCTCTTTCCGTTAAAATCAGCTAATGATGGAATAACTTCATCACTAATCACAGTCCGGTCATATGATTCTACACTTTCGTGTGTGTTATTCTATTCTTTTGATTTATTTATGCCTACTTGTTTGTATTTTATGGGTAGCAACAATGTCTACTTCCACCAAACGGACTGCCAAAAGAGGTTATGTATTCACTCGGGTATTCACCGTGATGTAAAATTTGGCAGAAACTTTTTTAGATCCAGTCGTACACGGCGCCCCATTGTTTGTATTCCCACCATGCATTTCGGTGGAACACTTTTTTTCTGTGGAAAACTCTATCTTGTGTTTCTAGTATCTTTGATTATATGAATTGTTTTATAGCAAGCCACACTTTTAACACAGTTTGTTGAAGCTTAGGAGGGAGCAAATTGTTTTTTTTTTTTTACTGTTTCTCATATAACAGATGAACTTTAACCAGATTTCCGCATAAATTCCATATGTGGCAGAGCCAAGCCAAAGGAGGGATAAGTCGCACAGGCAGTTTTCCAATAAATGCACAAACGTGAAATCAGCCGTTTTTTTCCCGATTTTTTATAAATCTCTAAAACATACATATTAAACATTTAACTTTCATCCTACATATACCTTCCTCTGATTTATAATCGATAAATGCTCCTAGCATACAGACATAAAATCTGATTTTCAAAGCCAGTTCTCAAAATACACTTACCAAGTATCCTAACTTTGATTGCCGATAACTTCACCATAAACTATCATATTAAGTGATTCTTTTTTCATTTTGAAGATAATAATGTCTAGTTTCATAATATGTACAAAAGTCAGTTTTGAAAATTTTGACTTATTCTTCCTTTGGCTTGGCTCTGCCACATACTGTTGTTATCCAAACATCATCTGCTGAAACAGTTTAGCATTTGACCTAGTTCTTTTCCCTATACACTGGGTTAACCATATGTCATGGGTCAGGGTGAGTATTGTGAACTTCAACCCACATCTTTATTTTGATCTCTTTTCCATATTACTATTCCAAAATTAGAAAAAAATAGTACAATGGAAATCTCCAACACAACTTAAATAGTAAAATTGGAAATTTAAATATTGTTTAGTCTTTTGTTATTTGTTGTTTGTTGTTTTGTTTTTATGACACTGATAAATCAATATTTTTCAATACAAATTTATTTATTTATTGTATTGTTTATTTACAAATTGTATTACATGTTTGTATTATTAGGAATTGATTATATTTTAAATTTAACATTATCTAATTTTATTTATTTTTTAAATTAATTTATGTTATTTATTTTTTTATTTATTTTATTCATCCATATATATTTATATATGTTTAATTTATTTTTGTATTTAAGTGGTTATTTATTGTAAGATGTTGTATATTATTTATTAAAAAGAGGGCTACTGAACATCACCACCTTGGGTGAAGTTGGAAGTGTTACCCTCTTTAAATATTGTTAAAAAAAACAATGTAAAATACAACAAAGAGTTCAAAAATAAAAAAAATTGATTACACCAATTAAAAAAAAAAACAACAACAAAAACACAAAGCTAAAGAGACATCAGATACATTAATAGAAATACTAATATGTAAAATGAACTACTTGAGTATTAAATACTTCCTTAGTATACACATTTTTTAAAAGTATTTAATAACACTTGTATTTCAATTAAACTATTCAAACAAAATTGCAACTTACCATCATTAAACTTAATTTCAAGACTATCTGCTTCGCTACCACAACTGCCTTCAAGGCTATCTTCACCCACACCAGCTTCCCGAGGCCCAAGTGGAAGACTAAAAGTACGCTTTAAATGGATTTCTTCCGAAATTTGTTCAAGGCTATCAAGTGCGTTTCTGTATGTTTTCTTCTTTTCTACAAGTAATTTCTGAACATCTATCACTTCTTGTTTAATCTTTAGAAGTTGTGTTTCAAATTGATACTTCTGTTCATAATAGACTCTGAAATAAAAAATAAGTGAGTTAAAATACTAAAACTGACCATTAAGTTCTTATCAAAACAGGGATTTAGTTCTGTATTTTCAATTTTCCAACCCCAAGTTCCGCATTCTCAATTTTCGCAACATCTACCCCCCACAAAACTGAAACCACCCTACACCCCTGAAATTGGGTATGTTTAATCTTTTTAATGAAGATGGGGATTAAATGGGGTTAGGGCCTTAGAGCTCAAAACCTAATGGCTGTGTATCTTAAAAAGAGGAAGGGCTAAAATACAGTAGTAGGGAATTAATTGGTGTAGCTTGTTACATTTGGCAACGAATGTTTGCCCAATTAACTGCAATTTTAGTTTGTACTGAATGATTTCTAAACCATATTTCAAATGTTCTTTGTGTTTTTTTCTACGAAACTCTCTTTGATTGCTATATCTCAAACATGGAGTTCCCTGAAAATTATTTGTGTTTTAGGTTACCTTGATTTTGCAATTGATTTGCTATATTTTTTCTTCAGTTGGTCGGATTTTTTCTGAGCCATGGCGTAAACTGCTGCTTTTTCTAGATGGATTGTCTCACTCTCCTCTCTCTCCTTCTCAGCAGCATTTAACTGAAAGGAAAAAACAAATAACATACTCACTGTATAAAGATAACTTGACCCAACTGCAAGAAGCAAATCAATTGTTAACCTGCACAAAGATTCTGCTTACTTTGTTTTATACATATGTAGCAAAGACAAACCAAACCAGTCACTGGTCGCAAAAATTTATTTTTAGTTATTAATACAGCGTTAAACAGTAAAGTGAGAGTGATAAAATGGTGAAAGAATCATTGAAATGCGATACTTCCTCAAGAAGTTACAAGTGTTTAAACACAGGTAAGAAAGTATAATACATACTCCAAGTATTGAAATACACGCCATCGTGTTGGGATTCAATATTTCGACATTAATTATGTCATCATCAGGAATTAATTAATGTCGAAATATTGAATCTCAACACGATGGCGTGTATTTCAATACTTAGAGTATGTATTATACTTTCTTATCTGAGATTAATCAGTGGACCTTTCGGTTTTAAACACAGAGTTGTTTAAAGAACAATATTTGAGGAATCGGCCTTCAAAGTTTATGATTTCGGGCATTTCTCAGGCGGAGACCATCACCAAATCATTAAAATTGTTGTTTTAACATTGAAAATGGGAAAAATAACAGCATAGCATGATGTATAAATATATGAAGGGTTGTTTAGTGCAATAATATAGATTTCAAAAATTTTGACATTCCAGCATGTTTTGGCCATTATCTCTGAAACACAAATTGCAACGAATGACTGGTTTGGCTTGTCTTTGCCACATATATAGAACTACAGAACACATAAACCTAAAATATTCCTTTTAATTAATTAATTTTTTAAGTTGATATGTAATATATAATAATCTTGAATTATTTTTCAAGTGGTGTTCTCTTGTAAGAGAGAATATGCAATTAGTCGGTTTATCCAGGAAAGTTCACAAAATAGACTATGTTTTTATAGATGACCACTTGATGGTGATCCACTTTGAGCACAATGATTATGTTTGCATTGTTATATTTGTCTCCTAGCTATAAACTATTGATTTTGTATTTATTTTTTCAGGTATATTATTCACCTCTGCTTCTGTTATAGATTTATTGCTTCTTTTATACACGTCTTCTGTTACATAAAAACCAACAAATTGAACACTGATCTTTTATTCAAAGGATGGGATAAAAAGCACCAGAGGCATGAAACAGGGTGAATCAGGCAAAAAAACTATGGGACAAAAGTTGCCATGACAATATTGATGTTAATGTTCACATCTTTTCAGAATTACCTGAAAACAAGCTTAACATTTTCAAATACATCTTAAATTTTGATAGTACCCTATTAATATCCTAATTTTCCGAATGTATTATTATACTGTGAATTTAAAAGAGATTGTTCCTCGATACCTTAGCAGTTGCATGATTTAGCATCTCTTGAAGTGCACTATTAAAATCTCTTGTCTTGTTTCCTGTCACCGATGCTTCCTCCGCAAGTGCTATGGTTTCCTTTGCGGCTTGACACACACTGACTGCTTTTTGATATTTGTTAACAGAAGCTTGCACATCCTGTTGAGCCTTTAAAATAATATATACATATTTATGAAATTTATTGGCCATGTTAGTATTTCCGGCAAAATTAAAAATATACAAGTCTATAAAATAAATAAAATATTATCAATAAATTATTATAAGTACATAATATATATATATATGAATGTGTATATATATATATAATATATATATATATATATATATATATATATATATACACTAATTAATTAATTAACTATATCATATACTAATTAATACCTGATGGGATGATTTTCTTGCTTGATAGTAGATCAGTGCTCTATTCACTGTCTTTCCACAGTATTTAGCAGTCAACTGCAGCTTTTCATTACATTCTGCCAAAGTTTGCTTGAACACAGCTCTTGTATTCTAGGATGATATAAATAATTTAAAATTATACAATTAATTATATTATAAAATCTGATAATTAGAATTATCTAACAGGTTCAGATCAAAATAGAGGTAGGGTAAAGAACGGTCTTAATGGAATATGTTAGAAATTTAACAGTGACAGCTGAGGCAGGAGGTATATCCTTTCGTCGAAAAACAACCCCCCACCCCACCCCCCAATGCCCACTACCACGGCATTGAGTTCAGATTAAAAACAAGTAATTTACCAATCCAAGTTATTTTGATTTCAATAGCTATTACTGTGATCTATAAAGCACAATTTGTACCATCCTAATCCATGATCCATCTACTCTTTTATGGGCTCTATCAGATTTTAACCCAGACCTTGATCAGAGGCCCTATGGGGTCACTTGTTAGGGGCTCTATGGGGCCACTTATTAGGGGCCCCATAGCACACATCTGGAGCCACTGACTGGTAATAAGTAGCATTTTAAAAATTCAAATTCCAAAAAGTACATTTAATAACAACATGTAGGAAGTCATTTTGATTACATGTAGGAATGGCCCTGTTTTGCTATTGTTATTTGTCAGTCTGTTGTTTGCCTAGTAATTTAAGTTGCCTTTTTTAGAGTCTATCTTGTTGACAGAGTGTGAAAAGAGAACTGCAAACAATAGAGTCTAGTAAATAGCTTCATGACGTTCACAAAAGAGTACATAATAAAAATAACAAACATAACAACAATGGCAATTGGGGAGTCTGGTTTGACAATAATGTTATTGAGTGCATTGTACTCATTTTTTATATTATAACTTTGATGCAGATAATTTGTAAATTTATGAAAAGAAAAAGCTGAATAGTTTAACTAGACGAAATGGTGGGTTTAAAGAGCAGTGGTGGATTCAAGAATTTGAAATAGAGGGGTCCATGAGTATGGCACCTCTAGATGGCTGGAAATGGCACACTTAGACTCAAAATTTGAGTATCTAGAATTTTCTTTTTTTCTCAGCTTGGCAACCCCTAAAATCCGCCATTGAATAGTTAATTATACCAATAAATACAGTAAAAACACATAGGCCTATTACAGTCCATAAAGGGAAGTGCAACAAATTTACTTGTTATATACCCACTAGGTCAGACATGATAAACGAAGCTATGTTAACACAATGTAAACTTATCTTGTTAGATTTTTGACCTTCTATTATCTATTGAAAGAACCACTATTATTAGCGTAGATTAGAATATTATGATATGATATAAACACAAAGCTACCCTGGTGTTGCTTGTCACCGAAATAATAAGATTCACACACTTCAAACACTGTAACATTCAATTACTGTACATTGAAATATGGAACAACAAAAACAGCAACATTAACAACAATGGAAGCAGCAAAAAATTAACTAATAAAACTAATTATATATTTGATGATAATGATGAACGATGGAATAATTATAAACTACAGTAAAATCTAATAAAAAATATATCTTGAATTTTTAAAATTTTATAATAAAAATACCAATTCACAGAGTAAATAAAAATATTAAAATAACAATAATAGAAAGTAATAATAACACAATAAAAATAATATGTTTAATGAAATTGATAATAATCATAGGAAAATTGTTATCATTAAATATTTAATTATCTAATGATAACATTAATAATTATGATGGTTAAACTGATTGTTATCATGACATATTCAATATTCTTCAAACAAAAATTCAGGAACCACAGCTGTTTAACAACACATCAGACAGCACCAGGTACTGTATATGCTAAATTTTAGGTTTTAATTATGGCCTTTTAATGTATACCAGTTTGTTTACCCTAATTCTATGGTTAATACCAAGCAAATGTCAGAAGCCCATAAAGCTATGATGAATAGAATTTGTGTTCTATGATACACAGAAACCAAAATATAAAAAATGCATCATAAGTATATTAAAAATGTAGGTTACTCTGTGTCAAGGAACAATTGTTGATGACGACAGAAAAATATTAGAAAATTCAAGGTTGCGAAAACATTTCAACGGAATAGTAGGAGTTACTATTTCCTGATGATTGCAATATAATCACGGAGTAGTCCAATACAGGAAGAATAGGAAATCATCTGCTGTACACCAATCTCGATAGAAGATCGCTGCAATGCTTAGTTTTGTAACTGTTATTTATATAGATAAAGTTAATATACTGCAAATCAATGATATGGTCAATGATACTACTGTTGTTATCTATTCCGGAAATAAACTGCATGGTGGTTCTAGTCAGTGTTAAGCGTACTATCTTGTAGGAAAAAGTATGCAACTTTCAACCATAGTTATGTAAAACAGGAAGTTGCATACTGTACAGAACACTTAAAATTTATGATCTTTTTCAAGTATGTTCTTGATTAAATGATTTCTTGATAAATTATTTGTCATATTTATCTGCTTTTACCAATTGTTTTCTAAGATCAGTTTGCATATTTCATTAAGGAAAAAAGAGAAAATGGAATAATTCTTACTTTTCAAGAAATCAATTAATATCAATCAACTAACAATCAATTTAATAATCAACCAATCAATTAATAATCAACATTATTAATGGATGAATCAAAATGAATGAATTTATTAATCAATTAATAAGTCACATTGATGAATGTGAAAGCAAAACATTAGAAGTCAATAAAAATGATCATGCCTTGATGTTATATCATCAGCATGAATTGACGTCAAGGTATTTATTGATCGATTGAACAGAATGAGAATTGCAAACCACAAATTGCTACACCAACTGATTACTTGGCAAACCGATAAATATGGCATAAATTTAATAACAATCTGCTAAATTATAATAACAGGTTGTAAATTCAATCAATAAATTTGAAAAAAAGATCAGCGGCAGAAAGTTCCCGACGAGGAGTCAGATTACCTTTTCCTTGATTTACTCCAGCTCACCATGGATGCGGGCTGAGGTGAGCAATTTTTTTTAAAGAATAGGCCCCTTTAGACACTCTCAGATGGTAGAAATGCTATTTCAAAGCAGTGTTCCTCGACAAAATTATTGACTTCCTCCTGACAGGATCTATATGCCCCCCTCCCTTAGACACGGGTGTCGCAAGGGTCTGATCAAGGACCTATAGTCTATTCTTTACTCGGAGTCGCAAAGCAAATTATGATTATGGCACCTCTTAGATGCCTGGAAATGGCATTCATTCAGAATAAAAAAATTGAATATTTTATCTCAATTTTAAAAAACAATTTTGACAAACGTAGGGTGGTAAAATGGCTGGCTGGGCATCCTGGCCTTTTTTACATCCTGACTTGTGAAATCTTTGGAAAAAAATTGGCGATGGTGATATTGCGTTGTGTTCCTTGTCAATCAAAGAAAATTCAAAATTAGTGAGTAATAAAATAATGGAGCTCTGAAGTTTTCCATGCGCCACTGATCTCATAGGCACACTTCCTTTTTTCCCTCTTTCCTCCAATTACCTCTTCTCAATTTTTTCTCTCTCTTTTATATTTTTCGCTGGATCCGCCCTTAAATCAACATATGAATCAATCATCAATTCATCAATAATCATTCAATCAATCAATATACAGTATTAATAAAACTATCAATATTCAATTCAATTAGTCGATTAATGAATCAATTAATATCAATGAATTAATCAATCAGTCAGTCAATGAATCACATTCTTGTACAAAAACAAAACAATACATTTTGTTATCCTTATACAGGGGCAGAAACAAAATTTTAGTTACTGATGAGGCAGGATTCTCTACACCAACATCAGGCCCACCATGTTTGGGGGTACGGTTGAGATTCTTTTAGGATTTAACACAAGTTCTAGGTGCTTGGAAATAGCACTTTCAAAATCTCAAAAAACATTCTCAGCAAAATACTGGTCAGATGACCTGCTGGACCACTTTGTGCTGCCCATGTTATAAATTTATTGATTGATATGAAGTAAAGTTAAAGAAATCACACCATGCTCTGCTGTTAATCAACAGCATGAATTGATGCAAATATCAAATGCATTACCAGGGAGTTGTTATAGTCTGGTATTACCAAGAAAGGTGTCATTTGCATGATGTAATATGTTTTCAAGGTATTTATCCATTCAGCTCAAAACAAAAAAACCACAAATTGTTTCCCTTGGAGACAAACTGTTTAATATGACATAAAAAAGTGGTCAATTCCACCTCAACTTTACCATGGTCAGGGATGAGGTAAGATAATTTGATTATGGTACCTATAAATGGCCGGAAATGGCACTCTCAGACTTACATTTGAATATAATAATAATAAGACTTATAAAAGCGCACAAATCCACTGCAGTAGTGCTCAAGGCGCTACAGGAGGAAGGAACCAAAAATACAATTTTCTTTTTTTTCTCCATTATAATTTTGGTCGCGCCAGAAATTTGCCGACGAGGGGTCCACGGACGTGTCTGACGGAGGGATCCAAACCAAGGGGCCGACGAAGCCTTGGTCATCGGCCTGGTAGGGGAGATTTTATGCCTTATTAAGGTCCAAAGTGTGCTTTTAGACCACAATTTTAGGGATTGGCAATTAAAATTTGGGAAGGAAAATTATAACTTTTGATCCGACAACCTAGTTGGATGACAGAGGGTCCACGCCTGTCCGTCGGGGGAAAATTCCCCCTGCCAGCACCACTACCACCCCCCAAATGCAGCAGCTGTAAAATAAAAAAATTAAAAAATGCCTAATAAAAAGCTGCGGCAGTTACAAGTTTTGAACAAATATTTACATTTACCATATTATCTATTCATTTAAACATAAAAATAAACTTAAAACAGTTAAATTAGGAGGTAATGATATGTAATTATGTTCTTAATTGAAAATAAAATAATTGTTATAATAGATTGAACTATACCTCAAGCTTTTTCTCAAATGTATTAATGTCCTCTGAAGTTGTATTGAGTGTTTCTAATTCAACCTGTAAACAATATATAAAAATTCATACATTTATAGACTTGTCACAAATATTTTCAAGCCCAAAGCAAAAGGTCACGGAAATGTAGGTCCGAAACAAGGATTAGATGCCCGAAGTGTAATAAATACAGTACCCAAATGTGTTTTTGTTTCCTATCTTCCGAAAACTAAAATAACAAACAAAAATTTGACAAATAAATGAAAAACACAATTATTAACTAACTGCTTATAAGTCAGTTTCATTATGAAAAAAACTTTAACACTCCAATGTTACTGTAAGTGGAGAAAGTATAAACTTTTCTCTATGGTCAAGGGTGTAGGAAAAAAAAAACATGGTGTTTGGGGGTGGTGGTGTATCACTAACTTGCAGTTCATACAAGGGCCATTATACATCATATCATTAGGAGATATTGTGTAAACATCATTGCACATTATCTAACTGAAATTGTACAACTCTAATTGTAGTACTGATTGTGCCCATGGCAAAATTTCATTAGAGCGAAGTCTAATCACAAGTAAACATTTAATAAATGCTGACCTCGCGTCGGCCACATCAAGTCAAAGACAAGACATGAGGCCTACCACAATAATCACTACGAATGTTAGTTACCTGAATTCTGGGGTCCAGTTCATCATCGTCCCATTCCACTTCGGTAGCCATGTTAATCCAGAACCACCCCGAGGTACACCACCAGCAATTATAAACAAAGTTGTTTCGGTGCTAGGACCGAGCAGCTCCTCAGCTGATGTGCTCAGACACAGATCCTGTTCGCGATAGACCGCGCTGTACCAACCAGTAAGCCGATCGCAGCAATTTCAGCCAATCACATTCAGGCATTAGTTGGTGACGTATTTTTATTCCTAAATCCACAAGTTATCCATCGAGTGCACAGATCTCTCGTGAACCTTTGTATACCGTTATTTCTTATTAAGTAGAGCTAACAAAACCGTCAGCATCGATCATGCATTAATCTGAACTGACCTTCTGTCAGAAAATAAAACTTTTGCGATATCAACATTTTATTTTATTCGAGGACGTAGGGCCTACTGTCTCCTTACGGAGCATTCAGTACAAATACTGGAGGGTAATCATTCGTATTAACAGGATTGCTCAAAAGTAAGAAAATTTAAACTGTCAGGGAGCTCTCCGTGTTACTGACTTATAAAATAAAATTCAAACAAGTATGCAAAACTTTTAGAATTTTTAAATAAAATGAAGTTTTTTTTTTCTTTTTTAAAAATGAATATTAAAACTTTTTTTGTGCTTGTATTTCTATCTTGAAACCTTCTTTGTCTTTGTATTATAGGGTCTATATGTTTTATCGACGAAATAAATGATATGATATGATATAAGATATTTCTCCTGAAACAAAAACGACATCGGAATGCACGCTACACATTAGAATCCCCCACCCCACCACAAACCATTTGAGTAGGCCTGCTACACTCAAAATAACACCAACTCCCTGATAATAATTGCAAATGTTTTAGGCCAAGAACCGTATTGCTAACCTTTAAAATATAGTAAATAAAGTTGCTCTACCTAGACAGAAAATTAATATCCAGTTACATCTCCCTCGGGTGTCATCGAGCCACTTTCAATATCGTAAAGTTGCAGCGTAGTTAACAATAGTGGGCGACAGACTATATTTATTCTTGAAAGAACATTTAGGTCCACTTTGATTTGAGGTCTTTCGGAAAATCATTGCACAAACAATTACATCGAAACATTGATAAATGTTACATTAAACACACTCAATAAATGAATTGCAAACTTTTCAGTCTATTAAGTAAGTTATAAACTTTCAAAGCAAAATTATTATGAAGAAAAGAAATTCTTGCCTGTAACACAGTTCGGGCGAAAGATACATGTCACAACATACAAAATATAATACAAATCAATACATCAAATGAACATAACATTACACAAGTACATAAAATACCAGTCATTAGATGCCAGGAAAGCACAAAAGCAGCCTAAATCACGGTCACCAAGTAGGTTATACCCGGGGAGCACACTTGTATAGCAACCTACCCGTATAGAAATATTTAAGAGTGAGCCACCAGGGAGGTTATAGTCCTGTTTAGGGGCGTAGGGTGGTTCCCATCTGGGATGGAACTACAAAGGATATCAATGGAGTAACGAAGGGGGAGGAAGAGGCCCCAGGCCAGGCACTGGGGGCCGCGGAGAGCCCCCGATGGGGGTGTGTGGCGACGCCCCCAGTGACTTCGGTGTTTGGCGTTTTGTATTTTAATATTATTATTATTATTTTTTTTAATTCTTATTATTATTATTATTATTATTATTATTTATTATTATTATTATTATTATTATTATTATTATTATTATTATTATTATTATTATTATTATTATTATTATTATTATTATTATTATTATTATTATTATTTATTATTATTATTATTATTATTATTAATATTATTATTATTTTAATTTTGTTCTTTTTTTTTGGCCCAAAATAAACCTAATACATTGTAATTAAGATAGGTCTAATAATATGTCCGTCTGCAGCTTCATTTCTTGTTACACAGTGTTTCATTCTTATTATATTATTTAAAACATATTATTAAATAAAGTTGAAAACGTTCAATCAAAAGAACAAAAAGATTATTTATACTCTTTTTCTAATTATTACTGTTACATGTGTTATTGGTATTATTGAACAGATTACACAGAATTATGAAAGTAATTAAAAAATAATGTCGGCGTCATTTGATGTATTTTTAAAATCATGATAATTATGATTATCATCATAATAATGATTTAAAACCCATTCATTTTGGGCGAATTCTCCTAGTATAGCCCCGGTATTCAACCTACGGCCCGCGGGCCAGTTCCAGCCCGCCAAAAAATTAGATCCGGCTCACTACATTGCTCAATGTGGCGTGAGTATTAATTGACATGGGGAGAGTGAACTGATGGGAAATAAATAATTATATAGGGACTGGCTATCGGGGAATTCTGGACCTTGTCGGCGAGAATTCGAATAAGCTTATATTATTTTTGGTACATCTCATGCTTTGAAAACGTATTTTTTAAAGTCTAAGATGGTCATTTAATAGTGATTAAGATCGCCAGGAAAAGATAAATTATATAGAAGGGCATGATAGATTGAGAGTGCTGTTACAGAATATTGTTTTATTTATCGCATAATTTTTAGATAAGAAGTATTTTATGTTTATTTTATCCAAAACATTCTAAGTTAAAGCTTTGAAAATATTAAAGTTAAGCTCTATAGCAGTGTAACTTATCAAGAAACAAATTTATTTGTATTTTGGAATAAAGTATATAACAAGAGGGCCATTTCCGGGCATATGTTGTGTTTATCTTAACAACTTGCTTACCTCAGCCCCAAACTGAGGTAGTGGTCCCCTTTTGGTGCTTGGGATATTTCTAATTGTAGAGTAGAACTGGGGATGCAAGTTTGTTTATTAGAGTCCACCCCTTCTCTATTCGATATTCCACTGCATAACACCCTCATTAAGCATGCCACCAGCTTAATAAGGTTGAAACCCGAGGCCTAGTGGAAAGAAACGACGACCGTACGAGTACTACGGTACATTGGCGCCGACACGTAAATACTAAGGAAGGAAACGAATACACTGTATTTATTTCGAATTACTGTAGTGTTTATTCACATCTGGGATAAAAATAAGTGTTTATTTTGTTTTACGACTAGGTATATCATAGAATTACATGTGTAGTTTTGCTGGTCTAATCCAGTTCTACTTGTTGCCCTGCAAATTTTCCATTGCAGTACTAAGCAGGCCTAGGCTTAAGCCTACAACGGAACCTTTTTTTTGAGACAGGGGTTGGGAGGGGAGGCGGGTGCGACAACTTCAGCCACGCAAAAGACCTCTGTCTCTCTTTTATAGTAAAATGTTCATATCACTCGGTTCTGAGTATTATTGGAAACTATTTAGTCCTTTAAAATGTGCTATTTTATGTTTCCATTTATTTTTTTTTTAGGTTTTTCCTTTTTTATTAACATATGAGACGTAAAGAGCGTAGAAGGTATGCCAATGAAGTTTGAGGTATAAGGGCGCTTTATACTTTCAGATCTTGATCACCGGTGACTTCCAAAAAGCAAATCAACGGTAACTGATTCATTTACCCATTACCGTATCTATCCTAATACTGATGTTTATGGGTAATTAATTAAAAATAAAAAGAATAATAATAATACTAATACTGTAATAATAATAATAATAATAATAATAATAATAATAATAATAATAATAATAATAATTATTATTATTATTATTATTATTATTATTATTATTATAAAAAAAATACTTATAATGGTCACATTATTAAGAAGACACAACAATAATTGTTACTTAACCAATATCATAATTAGTAATCCAAATATACATGCACGCAAACACTTAACGATTTTTCTTTTTGTATTGAAGATAAGCAATAAAAATAGGAAAAGGAAAGTACAAAAACTTTAAAGGTTCACCATCCACTATCATTCTGGCGCAATCCTGAACCTCTGCCTAGACGGCTCGAACAAAAGAACCTGGTATAATAGGCCATATAACAAATTTCAACATTCTTTATAATGAGGTTTTTTTTCCTTAAAGCAAAAAAGTTGTTAAAAGTAACCTAGTTGTTTCATCATCAAAATATATACGGCATTTTTAAAATATGTTTTGTTTGTCATTATGTAAAAAATACTTTATTAGCCTATTGTTCTTTGATAAAGGTTTTGCATGCAATATAAACATGTTTATATTTGTAACACAACAACGGATAATCAATACCATAGCCGGTAAACATAGAAAGGCATAAAGAATCCGAAAACATTTAAATATAAGCAAGTATTTTTATCTCATATAACTTTCTAGTGTGGCTAATGTTGTCCTTTTTTTTTATTATTTAAATTTATGTTAGTCTACCATGGATAGCCACAGACAGCAATATTGGGGTTTTTTCTGGAAATTTCGCCAGGCAGTTGTATCAATTTCCTTTCAATTTGATTGCTTCTGTTGTTTATTTTAGTCATATTTTTGATATTTTACAAAATAAATTAAATTAAAGTAAGTGATAGCTACACACAGATACATTGAACACTGGATTATGGATACCGCTGGAAAGTACAACAGTTAAACATAGAGCTAATGTATACGATGGATGTCCGTATAAATTAACCCTACTTTTTAAATCAACCCACATTTGTGGTTGACATGTTATGTTGTCATTATGTTAATAACATTTGCGGTTATTTTGACATTTGCGGGTAGAATGTTTTGACATTTGTGGTTATTTTTACATTTGTGGTAGATTTTACATCCTGGTGCCTAGCGAAGCTTGAAGTTCATAAATTGCAAAGACGTAACAAGCTTGAAATGAATTCGCCTTCATGAATGCCACTTTTTTTCATTGGACTTACCAAAAAGCTGATCGTTGTAAAATGTTCAATTATAAAATATGTCAGAGTGCAATTATATAAATTTTTTTGAAATCCGTTACCCCTTTTTTAAACAACTGATAACATTAGAAAGAATGATGTTAAATTCTATTTTAATGTAACTTGCCTAGATTTGTAGTACCAGTACGGTATTTATTATTGGAAACTATAGTTTCGATAAATTATTTGTTTGATAACAATCTTTACTTAGTTTATGAGCATTTCCCTAACGGGACAGTGTCACTAAGATGGACAACCTCCCAAAAAACTTACGGTACATTTCAAAGAATATCGTAGTTTCTTAAATGACTCAGTTTCGTAAGCATCAAAGCATGGTATTTTTAGTTATGATTTATAGTAGGCCTACCAAGGGTACATATCACGTGGTCAGAGTTCTACATTGGATAAATGATGATGATGATGATGTTGATGATGATGATGATGATGATGATGATGATGATGATGATGAAAAAAATGATAATGATGATGATTTAACGATAATATTAACAATAATAATAATAATAACAATAATAATAATATAATAATAATAATTATTATTATTATCATTATTATTGCACAATGAGCGGTTATGAACGGCTATGTTTTGGTTGTTAGAAAACAATTGTTATAGACCTTTCCGCTAAGCTCCGCCCCTTGGATATTGTTGCTTAGGTCCCACAAAGACAGCAGTGTTAAAACATACGCGAACACGCGAACACGTGCGTTTGTTACACAACACGTGTGTTTTGTAAGACGCGCGCGCATTCATAGCGCTGTTCTGATTGGTCAGTTGTTAAATTTGATTGACACTCCGGAAAGGTCTATTGTTATTGGTGCACGATGGAAAACACTGTATAAGCGCACGATCTACTGTTTACTTGGAGGATTTACTTCACACCATTGGGCCTCATGTAAAGAAATAAGGGTTTGCATACAATAGGAAAATATATTTAACCAGTGGCGGATCTGGGGGGGGGGGGTGAATAGGGTGGCTAGCCACCCCACTTCGGTGACCTCGAAAACAAGTATATAGTCACTCGTCATGTGTGTGTGTGTGTGTGTGCAATACTCATGTATGCATGTTACATGTAGTGGGCTACTCTCTTAAAACATACACTTTCTATTTTAAGCTTAACTTCTTTTCAAATGTCATCCAAGAGCGTCTAGTCGTCAACTAATTCCAAAAAATCTTAAATGGAAGGGGATGCCTCTCCCTAAACCCATGATCAAGGAGGGACAGGGGGACACATCCCAAAATATTTTTAAGGGAGCGGGGCTTTGTAACTCTTTTCGTCCGCAATGTAATAATATCACAAGTCAAGAAGATGCCTAAAAATTGTTGAAATGAACTACATAAATGACCCAGGTTTTAACGAAAATGTGCGTACAACCGGTACTCTATCTCTGCCCACAAATATCTGAATTACTTATAATACACGACTCTTATAAAAACGTATGAGTTTGGTTAAAAAAAGTTTTAGTAAAACGTTTCGAAAACGTAATTTTGTGGAGTTTTGACAGCGTTTTAATGTAACATTTTAAAAACGTTATTATAACGTAAAAATAACCTTTGTTACATCGACTTTGGTCTTTTATCACGTTTTAAAAACGTTTATTAAAGGTTTTTATTACGTTTGTAATACGTTATAATATTACGTTTTAAAAACGTATTTATGTGGAGTTTTTAAAGCGTTTTAATAACGTTTCAATTTAACATTCAGAAACGTCATTATAACGTTATTTTAATGTTTTTAAACGTTTTTAAAACATTCTTAAAATGTGTTACAATACCAAAGTCAATGTAATCTAGTTACATTGACTTTGGTATTGTAACACATTTTAAGAATGTTTTAAAAACGTTTAAAAACATCAAAATAATGGTAAAACTTTTGAGTTCCAAGACGTTTTCAAAACTTGAACAAACGCTGTACACTGAACCGTAGATAGCCTTAGGTCGGCCTCTGGTCACATGTATGATTCCAACTACATCGTGTTAACTTTGATGCTCCGGGACAGAAGAGGACAACAATACAAAATTACTTACACTTATGTAGCGTTATGTGTTTATCCTTTTAATGTTTAATGCGTCCTGTACTGTACTTTTCTATACTGTAGTTTAGCAAAAGCTCCATTTCAATATAGGACAAAAGGATTTACAATAATCAATATAAAAAAAAAATAAATCAAAATCAAGTTAGAGTCAAGTGCTGACAATTCTATACTATTTCTGTAAATGTCAAACAAATATCAAAAATAAACAAGAGGCCCAGTGTACAAAAACTCCATAGTGCACACTTAAAAATCTAGGATATTCAGAAAAGCAGATGGCTACACTGTCTCTGAATCAAGCCTTGGCAGAGAAAATTCATAGCCGTTCTGTCAAAATGGAACCATTTGCTGAGTAGAAAGTTGTATCAGAGCCAATAAAGAGGATGTGCTACAAATCAAACGCATTCACATAATATTGCCGTCGTCCTCATCGTTGTCATCTCTTCTGGCAATATCTTCTTCATTACAAACTTGCTCAAGTTTCTGTAAAAAGTGAACACAAAAATGTGTCTATTTAATTTACAGTTGGCCTTCTTTGTTTTTATACTTAATATTTCTACATGTAGGATGAATTTTAGTATTGTTTTCTGAAGTGAAGTGATTTTTCATTACTGTTAAACTTGACTTAACCAAACATATTCTTTTCAATATCTCAGTAAAACATTTGCTATATAACAGTTATAAAGTTTGATAAAGTCCCAAGGTAACACCAACTCAAGATTTAATTACAAACGTATGTATGATCACCCTTGTTAATATATTATTTGACTGCTGAATATTAGTCCTATAAACAAATTCAACAGATTAGAGTAAACACATTTATAATTAAAATAACATGTGTATGTGAAATATTCATGAAAAAATAATATAAGATAATTAAAAATTATCATGGTAATTTAAAACTTTTTAATAAATTGTCTGAAGCCACGATACATGACATCCTTAAAACATTTAATTCCCATTCTAAATCAATGTATTAGTTAATATAATGAAAATAATAAATGAAAATATGATAGGTAATTAAACTGTTTGAAGTGATCATTATGGAATGATAAACAAACGCATACAGTGGTCATTTTTGGTTGCGAGGTAACGTTCTGTGAACGCTGTGATTTAATTGTGATAAACGTTTTTCAAACGTCTTTGTAAGTATTTTGCTTACGTTATTACAACGTTTATATAACTTTTTGTACAAGGAAACTGCAATTAAAACGCAATATACGGCGACGTTTTAAAATTGTTTTTAAAACGACTTATAAAAACGAAAACAATTTCTCTGACAATTGGTGAAAATTTGGTTTTGATATAACGTTCTGTGAACGTTGTGATTTCGTTCTAATTATACATTTGTTGAGGAGTCTTTGCGTACGTTATTATAACGTTTTTATATTGTTATGGTGCACTGAATCTGCAAGCAAAAGGCAATATTACACAGCGACGTTTTAAAATTGTTATTAAAACGTTTTATAAAAACGATAAAATTTTTCAATGGAACATCACAGCGATTATCGATGATGATGAGTTTGATTATAACAGAGTGTTATTTCCGGTAATCTAAAGGTACTATTTCCCCAAATGTTTCCACCTCAGCCCTTGGACTAATGGCTTCAAAGTAGGAGGCCTAAACTAAGTGCATCAAAGACAATGTTTTTATTATTTATTTTCAATAGTACATCACACATATTAATTAGATATCTATGGTTGCCGAAAATTTTGAACAATTCATTTTTACTATATAATGGTGATGTGATGACGATGAATTTGATTACATAAAAGTGTCCTTTCCGGTCATCTAGAGCTATTTTTTCCGAAAAATATTCGCACAGGTGGGTGTGAGCTCACCTCACCTCACCTGTCCCTCAACTTTCGAAACATATCTGCGCCCTTGTCACAACATCGCCCCCCACCCGCATCGTGCTTTGCAAATCGCATTATCCACCTCCCCCGCCCACCCCCCATTCCTAAATCCAAGATCCGTCACTGATTTAACTTGTGACGCTCCATTAAATAACAGGTCAATACAAGAACAAAAAACAAAACAAAACAAAACAAAACAAAAAACAGACATCCGGCTATAAATAATAATACACAGCATTGGATTACCGGTACCGCTTGAAAAGTCCGTAACAAAGTTATATATATAGCATCACACGAGTCATCGATACTTGTAAAGAATCTAGATGCATATCTCTTAATATCCTGAAAGTAACTCGTGTAGGGTAGCTCCCATTGTAAGCAGATACAATCATATTTCTATTAATAGTAGGAATCTACTACTAAAATGGCTATATTGAAATTTGGATCGCGACAATGATTGATAGATCGGTGATATATTAACATCAGGTGTAGGCCTATTTGTACTTACCATATCAAGTGTGACTCGAATCTTTGTATCTAGAGAAAGGATCAGGCTTGTATTTAAATAAAGGTCTACAGTTTATTCAGGTACGACATAACTCCCAAGGAACTTGGGTCAAGTCCCCAGTCTTGTAAACACAACACTTTTTGCGAGGCATTTGGTCATTTCAGTATGGATAGTCCTCTTCGGCCTACTTTATATAAGCACGTATTTACATTGGCGTTCATTGGTTCTTACTTAACTGACTTTCATACCATTAGTGCACAAGAGTGCGGCTCACCTATAACTTGCAATGAACCTGGACGTGGAAACATAGACTGTACAAAATGTGTTCACGAAATAGACTGCATTAACAAGGATCTAAGTAAGATACCAAACTGTAACGGTGCAGGTATTGAATCTTTGGATTTAAGGAAGAATCAGATCCAAGATTTTGAGGATGATCTAAAACACTACAGTGAACTTAAAAAACTATGTCTCGAGGATAATAAAATAACCGAAATTGAACCAGAAACATTCGGTAGCTTGGGCTCCTTGAAAGAACTGCTGTTGCACCGTAATCTCATTGAGTCTATTCATGAAGACACATTCAAAGAGGGACTAAGAGGGATAGAAATCATAAATTTAGCATCAAATAAACTGAAATCGTTTGACGTTTCAACTTTCCAAAATCTAAGCAGCCTCAAGAAGCTGTACCTTGGTAACAACTCGTTGTTGACTATACCAAATGAATCATTCGCCGGTACTACCAGTCTGACTACCCTGGATTTATCAAGAAATTCACTTACGCATATTGGAGTTGAGCTATTCGAAAACCTCCCAAATTTGAAAACACTTAGAATAGACCACAACCCAAACTTGAAAGCATTTCCTGTAACAGTACTCGACTTTATCTCCCTAGATACACTTATTCTTTCAGGAAATACATTCAATTGTAATTGTCAATCTGACGTTATTAAGTTGTCAAATATTTTCAAAAATGCAAGTAGCACATGGAAGCCTCCGAAATGTGCTAACACAATGGATTTTACAGCGTTAGAAAGTGAATGTAGGCCTACAAATATTTCAGTTACTGAAAGTCAAACACTGTCTAACAAACCTGAAAAAACAACGAATCATGAAAGATCAACGAAACAAGAGTATGATACCACGAATCAACTTGGAGTTACAAGGACGAATGAATCATCTCACAATGAATCATCTAACATTATGTATGTGATGGTGGAACCAGCCCTGGTGATAGCACTGGCGATAGCCCTGGTGATACTCATTGTTTTTTGTCTCGTTTTGTTTCTAGTCTGCTTAATAAAAAAAAGGAAAACATGCCCTCCACAAGATCAACGAGATGATGTAGGCCAACGAACGGCGACTAATAATCCTGACAGGGATAGAATGCAATATGTTTCCACAATTTCTTCATCACTGTTGACAGAATCACAGGAGCAAGACAGGTTGTTGTCTAGAAACTGTGGATATCAGAATAGTACAATCGTGGGAGACGAAGTGACTAATAGGACCAGAAACCACCACCAATACGACGTACCATACATACATGTACAGGTAGATTTAAATGCTAATCAATGTTGTGTTGATAACTATAAAAGAACAACAATGGTGTGAAGGAAATGCCAGTCAACCACAGAATCTATACCCTGTCTCTTATACACATCTAGATGTGTATAAGAGACAGAGCTCTAGTTCTCTTTATATTAACTATGAAGATGTAAGTTCTCTGAAGGTTAACTGCAGTATTTACAGTACATTGTAGTTAAAATGTATTATAGGTTGTAAAAACTGTATTGAATAAAACAACTTTTCACTTGACATTACGAATTAGTCATTTGTGAAACAAAATGATAGGCTATATCAAATGTTAAATTGAATAGTGGTGGATTCTAGGGGAAGCCCAGTCGGTACAGGCCCCTCACCCTCCTAAATTTTTCATAATTAAAAAAATAATGGCGAAAAAATCTGAAAATGCCATTTCCAGCCATCTAAATGTGCCATAATCATAATTTTTCCTTAACTCAGCCCCCAACCGGTGGGGCTGAGGTTGGTGGACGCTCTATCTGTGCAAGTCCCTCCCTGTGGCCCCCCTCTATTTCGAATTTCTGTACCCGCCACTGTTGAAGTATTATTTCCCGCTTCTAGAAAGGAATTTCGATACTTGGAGTATGTATTATATACTATCTTATCTGAGAATTTTGTACTCATCGGGGAAAAGTGGAGTTGAATAGCTTGGTGGTTAAGATGCTTGCCTTCCAATTCCAGAGTCATGGGTTCAATTCCTGTCAGTTGCAAGACTTTTTCTCACGACCAAAACAACTCCACTCCCTAAACCTCATATTGAGATTTAGTTTGTGTTAAGCATCATGTGTGTATATTTGTCTTGTGTGTCGTGGACTGTTTTATGTGTACTGGGCCCTCTGGGAGAACAGTAATTTGTTACTGATGAGGAAACCCAGTATAAAGAACAAATAAATATAATAAATAAATAAATAAACAACAATTATGAAATTACAACAGATGAAGTCATATTAATGTAGCTTGATGCATATAAAATAACTAATAAAATTCACACCAAACTTAGTCAAATATCCGGGGGCCTTTGGTGGCCCCCTGGCTCCCAGCCTAGATGCTCGCTTCGCTCGCATACTGGATTTATTACCTTATGCCCTGTCTCTTATACACATCTAGATGTCAAAAACGTTCCGCCACCATTCTCTACAATGTAGTCCCTTAATTCCTCAGAAGAGGAAAGAGGTAGGAGAGAGGATGGCGTTAACTTGATTAAATTTGACGCTTTACTTTGTGTAATTTTATCTAGATGACCAAGTGTCATCAGGGTACACCACATGCAATACAGTCTCTGTTACTGGCATTTTTTATTTTCTTTTAATCAAAATGAAATTTTTTTTAAATGTATGAAAGACGAGCAGCAGATAACTAATTTTAAGGAACATTACAACAGTTCTTAAGTTTATTGTAGGAAGCCTGTATGAATAGCATGGCTTTTACGTCCATGTTTATGGTGGTGATATATTATTTTTTATTTGCATTTTTCTTTAATTATTTAATAGCTCATGATGTCACTACACTTTGTAAACCTCTTGGGTAAATGATTATTTGTTTCTCTCACGTTTGAGAGTGTACAGCAACTCAGCAAACCAACTAGTAAAATAATGGATTAATAATAATAATAATAATAATAATAATATTTATAAAAATAATGATAATAATAATAATAATAATAATAATAATAATAATAATAATAATAATAATAATAATAATAATAATTATTATTATTATTATTATTATTTATAATAATAATCTACTTGGTTAAAACACTGAAGGTTTTACAATTGTAAAACTTCAGCTTCAGGTTTTCTGCACTTTTTTAGTTTTACCTGTCAATTTCCTGAACAATTATAATAATAATATAACTAATATTATTATTGTCATCATTATCTTTTTGCTGTCATTTTCATTAAATTTCGCTTCAATGCATGACAAACGATTCAGGTATATACAAAAGTAGTCCCAAACGATTGTAATTTAATTTGTTTGCAATGAAGGTTAAATTTAGAAATGAACGTAGCAAAACCGAAACAAAGTACTATACACAACACAATCCTATATTTGTCGCGAAGAGCGCACCACAATAATAGAAACAAGGTATTTTATTGGATACATTATATAACAATTCCATATTTTGGATGAATATGTGATGGTCATACGAGGTAATAAATTCGTCTTTCAACCCGATTCATCAGTTGCCTGCTACAGCAATGAGCTGATTATTGGATTAACGAAATCAGGAATATCTCAAAATTGCTATGATGTTCAATTTTTACTTTTAGGAGATCATGTCTGTATTTGACTGTTTTGAACTGTTAAAGCTCCTGTAAACAGTTTGTGAACAGCAGGTATCTCGGTAGGTTGAACTACCGATATTTAACGACAGCGTAAGTGAAAAAAACAAAACACATTCAATATTTCGTTTGCTAAACAAATCAACATAGTGACCACGGTTACCACAATCATTAACATAATTATTAGTGTCATTTTTATCATCGTTATTATTAACATAATCAACAACATCATTATCATTATCAATATCATGATTATGATCACCATCATCATCATCATCATCACCATCATCATCATCATCATCATCATCATCTTTATTATTATCATGAACACCATCACAACATTATTATCAACATCATCACCAACATCATCATCATCAATATCATCATCATTTTCAACATAATCACCAATAGGCCTATCATTATGATCATTTACCATCATCATCATCATCACCATTATCATCAGCTTCATCATCAACAGCAATTAATAACTAATAAAAGTTGACAACGTTCTATTTTTATCTTCCAGCAGGTTAAGCCGCGTTAATCGTGTAGGTCCATGCAGATTTGACTTCATCTTGGTATAGTCGTATTGATCTATATTTTTAGGGTAAGAGTAAAATCTGAAAAAATAACGTGTTCCACACGCAGCGGCACCATTGACTTACCTTTACAATGTTTTTTTCTCATACTTCTCCAATTAAGCTATAATAAAGGCACACGTACTAGAGTCGTGTATTATAGTTAATTCAGATGTTTGTGGACGGAAGCACCGGTAACTTGGTATAAAATAAGATGTTCTGTGCTACTGTGGTCTTTCGTTAAAATCTAGTCATTTATGCAGATCAATTTAACAATTTTCATGTATATGCTGGACTTACTTAGGAATTTACATTGCTGGCGAAAAGTGAGGGGACCATCCCCTTAAAAATAGTTGGGGTACGTGTTCCCTGTCACCCCAAACCCATGCTATTCACCAGAGGGCAAGGCTTTATACATAATTTGATATTGAATCCTGAAATTACGTCAATTCCAAATTCCAACATTTATTTATATGAAGAGAGTAGAATAGTAGGACTATTTTAAATAAATCAATTATCGGTCATTATTATACTTTTTAAAATGTCAGCAATTATTTTACACATTTGCCAATAAATTTGTTTTTATTGTATTAGCTATACAAATTTAAGAAAGTATAATACATACTCCAAGTATTGAAATACACGCCATCGTGTTGGGATTCAATATTTCGACATTAATTATGTCATCATCAGGAAATCATTCCTGATGATGACATAATTAATGTCGAAATATTGAATCCCAACACGATGGCGTGTATTTCAATACTTGGAGTATCTATAAAAATTTAATTCGTGTTTTTATGTAAGAAACATATTAATAGGCTTATTCTATTGGGCCCATTGATGAAAAATCACATACGTTTTTCTGATTCAGCTGGGTCGGCAGGCAACTGGGCAGGCGTACCTATCATTGTATTTAAATTAAAATTGTATTATTGTCATTGAACTAAGCATCTACCCTGTAATTAAATATTACAGAGGAGTTTTACTTCCGTGTTTACATTCGGGGATGTGACGTACGAACCTGTGTACTTGCGCATGTACGTACGTGTTGCGTAGCAGGATACGTGCCACTGATCTCTACTATAATAACTGGATTGCTTTTTGGTGGGTTTAGTGAGGCCACTGACGCCTTGTTGGGGGCCTAAGTAACGTATCCTTTTAGACAAGCTTCTTTTGGCATTTGTTTAAATTATTGTTAAAAATAACGATTCTTGCAAAACTTTTTAATAATAAGTTTGAATTTAACGTAGTGATTATTATCATCTAACTACTTGATGTGACTTTTTATGCAGTTTAAGAAAGCGCAAGCGAAGTTATTTGCGTTGGTAGGGATCGACGTCACTATAAAAACGCGACCTCGTTGCGCTTTTGAAAACTGCATAAACAGTCGCAGTGGTTAGATGTTTTGAAAAAAATCCTATGTTAAATTTAAATTTATTATTGAAAAGTATTGCAAGAAATCGTTATTTTTAACTATAATTTAAACAAATGCCAAAAGAAACTTTCAAAACTGGTACGTCTTATTATATCTCTATGTACGTCACTTAGGCCCTCCAACATGGCGTTGGAGGCCTCACTCTGTAAGGATTGGCCGCCGATGAGCAATTCAGCTATTATACTAGAGATCAGTGGTATCTGCCGACTGTTGACTTTTCATTAAATCTTTGAATTTTTGGAATGATATTTAATTTTAAATTTTTTCTATCAATGAATAAACAAATATGCTGCTAATGGCCTTATATAACACCATAGTTGACAGTTGTGAATGAGGGTTGTTTATTTGTTCAAAATAAGACCTATACGTTTTTCAATTCTCCTGAAAGGCCGTTACGTTGTTTAAAGCATTATATTCATTTTCCAAAAGAAGGAAGATATGCATATCTTAATGTGTCCCATTGGCGGATATGTTGTTTACTTCAACGTAGGGCTAAAGTTAAACAAGAACGTAGATGCCACATCCAGCACCGTCTGATAATTTTCAAATGCTTTTCAGTGTTTTAATTTGACAATTAGAAGTTATGGTAGAAACAACTTGGTAGAAATCAGGGGTGGCGCCAGCAGGGGCGGGGCCGGGGGAGCCAGGGCCCCCGTCGAGGAGAGCTTCACCCCCAACCCCCCACAATTCGTCGGGGAGAAAAACAAATTATGTGTATTTTCTACATATTAGTACACTCTAAAATCGATTAAATAAGCCTTTGAAACCCCTAAATTGTCGAAATTTTCGGGGGCTTCGCCCCCTGGACCACTATCGAAGCCTTTTAATCGAAGATCGACCACACCCACTATGATTTCGTCGGGGAAATCTGACCCTTCGTCGGGGGCGTCGCCCCCCACCCCTCCGTCGGGGACCTCGGACCCCCCGTCGGGCAAATCCTGGCGCCACCCCTGGTAGAAATTGCTTTTCTCATTTGGTCATACCTTTTTATACTTGTGTCCATGACCACCGTTAATAACAATGTAGTTAAATTTATTATCTCTTTGTAATTGTAAGCTTTCTTCATTGAATGTGATTTTATTCTGGTTAAAAAAATTACAAATAAATAAATAAAATTCATCAAAAATACTTAATTCTTACCACCTCACACTTCCCGGAGAAAGAAGTTATAAAAATAAGCGTCTTTTTCTATTGAAGTAGGGCTATGAGACGCTTCTAGGATATATTCTGTGTAATACAAATAGAATAAAGATAATTGCCCTGCCATTTTGTTTATGTTATGATTTTAATTCATTTAAGACATTCCCCACCAACACCACCCCTCCCAAACCTTAAGAAAATTATACGCAGTTCAATCAAAACGAACGAGTTGATCTCGAAAATCCAGACACTGTTTCATTATATAGTACAAATTACAGTACATTATAATGAAATTCATTGGAAAAGCTTCATATGTGCACAAAAAATTCTATATAAATTCAATAAAACAGATTTATGGAAAGTTCTTTAGTAATTTTTTGTAGCTCTATAGAAAATAGAAATATTTCTAAAGAAACTCTATAAAATCTTGTTTTTCTATACAAATACTCTAAATAATTTCTATAGACTTTTCTTAGAATTTTTTTCTATAAAATTTCTTTAGATTCTCTACCAACGCTCTGTAGAACTATATAGGAGTTCTTCGGGATTTCTATTTAAACTACATGAAAACATTTATAGAGACCCTGTAGAAAATCTATTAAAACTCTATAAAACAGGGATTTAGAAAATACGTAGAAATTTTATAGAATGTTTTTTTTTTAAGAAATTCTTTATATTATTTTCCTACTGATGGACTTTTAAAAGATGTTTATGTATATATATTAATATTTTGGAAATCTTGGGCTTTTTTAGACTCAATCTTGGAAATTTTGATTTCTCCCAGTGGTCTCACTGGTTGAATTGCCTTGGTTTCATCCAAAATCACTTATGCGGGACCGTCTCGCACGATGCGAGACGGTTGGTAACTATGCACAAGGCATATATTATATGCATATAGAATTCTAGTAATTGTATGACTTTGAATGACTTTATTTTCTGCACAATTGCCGTTGAACTGTAAAATACAGCGCCTTCTCGCCGATATATAAAAATCGTTAAAGTAACAAAAATCTTTCGCATGTTGTCTATAATTTTTTAGAGTTAATTTGCAAAGCTACAATAAGAAATAATTATGTTGTTATCACGTTCAACATACTTTTGTTAGGACGTAAGACCTATAATTATTTTTTATTTAACTTCTTCCACCTGTTTTTAGTCAACTTTAGCCTGGACGCGTTGAAGACTATACAGCTCGTGTTTTGTGTTCGCTTTGCAAAAAGTAGAAATAGTTCGAACCATGGAGGTATTATCTATGGTTCGAACTACCAATTTCGTTAAAGCGAAAACTCCGATAGAAATGTGAATGCACATGCGCATGAACGACGCTTTCGATTCGCGCGAATAAATTCGCCTAGTGGAAAACCAGCTTCTAGGAAGTCTATACTTTGTTACATAAGCTGTTATATAAAATACTAGTAGGACAATATACAAATTGGTAAATTAGAAAATTAAAAAAAAAATTAGAAAATAAAACAATTCGAAACCAAATTCGTTTAACATAATACCATATCGTTCATCGAATATTATTATCAGTGCCCCCCCACCAGTAATGATGTCGACAACAGAGGGCGTAGTTCTTCTTGGATTCGTCTATTATAAGCGCACGACCTTTTATTTATTTTTTTCTCGAAGGATTTACTCACACCATTGGGCCTCATAATAAGGGTTTGCATACAATATGAAAATGTATTTAACTTGCGGTCAATAGGCCTACCACAAAAAAAAAAATAAAATAATACAAAGCACTGAATTATAAATATCGCCGGGAAAATACAGTACCAAAGTTACGTTATTTATATCGTCACACGAGTCATTGAGAATCTAGATGCCCTATTAATATCCTGAAAGTAACTTGTGTAGGGTAGCTCCCATTATAAGCAGTTACAATCATATTTCTATTAATAGTAGGAATCCACTACTAATACTATTTTGAAATTTGGATCGCGACAAAGATTGATAGTTCGGTGATATATTAACATCAGTAGGCCTATTTGTACTTACCATATCAAGTGTGACTCGACCTAGAGAAAGGACCAGCCCTGTATTATAAAGGTCTACAGTTTATTCAGGTACGACATATCTACCAAGGAACTTGACCAAAGTCCCCAGTCTTGTTTACACAACACTTTTTGCGAGCCATTTGGTCATTTCAGTATGGATAGTCCTCTTCGGCCTACTTTATATAAGCACGTACTTACATTGGCGTTCATTGGTTCTTACTTAATTGACTTTCATACCATTAGTGCACAGGAGTGCTCACCTATAACTTGCAATGAACCTGGACGTGGAAACATAAACTGTGCAAAATGTGTTCACGAAATAGACTGCATTAACAAGGATCTAAGTAAGATACCAAACTGTAACGGTGCAGGTATTGAATCTTTGGATTTAAGGAAGAATCAGATCCAAGATTTTGAGGATGATCTAAAACACTACAATGAACTTAAAAAGCTATGTCTCGAGGATAATAAAATAACCGAAATTGAACCAGAAACATTCGGTAGCTTGGACTCCTTGAAAGAACTGCTGTTGCACCGTAATCTCATTGAGTCTATTCATGAAGAATCATTCAAAGAGGGACTAAGAGGGATAGAAATCATAAATTTAGCATCAAATAAACTGAAATCGTTTGACGTTTCAACTTTCCAAAATCTAAGCAGCCTCAAGAAGCTGTACCTTGGTAACAACTCGTTGTTGACTATACCAAATGAATCATTCGCCGGTACTACCAGTCTGACTACCCTGGATTTATCAAGAAATTCACTTACGCATATTGGAGTTGAGCTATTCGAAAACCTCCCAAATTTGAAAACACTTAGAATAGACCACAACCCAAACTTGAAAGCATTTCCTGTAACAGTACTCGACTTTATATCCCTAGATAAACTTATTCTTTCAGGAAATACATTCAATTGTAATTGTCAATCTGACGTTATTAAGTTGTCAAATATTTTCAAAAATGCAAGTAGCACATGGAAGCCTCCGAAATGTGCTAACACAATGGATTTTACAGCGTTAGAAAGTGAATGTAGGCCTACAAATATTTCAGTTACTGAAAGTCAAACACTGTCTAACAAACCTGAAAAAACAACGAATCATTAGTGAGATTCAGCGGCGCCATTGATGCACGGTAGAGATTGCATCTTTAGATCTCCGATCTTGTTCACAAATTCACGGACTAGTGCTGTCTCGTAAGAAGTTTGTAGGACGCGTAAAGAATGACAAAATATTCTCTGTATCTACTGGAACCGAGCCGCATAGCTTGTATTCCACTATTTGCATTCACACCTGGGCTGTGTATATTGCCTTGGTTGGGCTCTGTAATCATTAGTGGTCGAGGGACTAGTTTGGGCTCTGCCTAAGCTGGTCGAACGTTTCGTTTGGGTCTGTACCCTAGCTGCACTGATGAGGCCTAGAAGTATGTATGTATATATATATATCGTCCAAAATATTATCAGTAAAGAAGGAAAAAAACTATAATTATTATATTTTATATTCTTTTGTACAATAATCCTATTTAATTTTTTTACATTTTTATGTACAATAAAATTGAGGTGAAGTATTTACGTTTAATAAAGTGAGATTTTTTAGTATACAAGGATGCAAAGGGACTTTGTCCCACTACGGAGAAATGTAAGATGTAAGTTCTCTGAAGGTTATAACTGCAGTATTTACAGTACATTTTAGTTAAAATTTATTATAGGTTGTAAAAACTGTATTGAATAAATAGCTTTTCGCTTGACATTACAAATTAGTCATTGCTAAAACAAAATGATAGGCTATATCAAATGTTATATTGAACAGTGGTGTATTCAAGGGGGAGTCCGGCCCGTACAGGCCCCTCACGCTCCTTAATGTTTTATAATTATAAAAATAATGGCGAAAAAAAATTATATGAAAATGCTATTTTCAGCCATCTAGAGGTGCCATAATCATAATTTTTCCTTAACTCAGCCCCAACCGTTGGAGCTGAGGTGGGCGGACGCTCTAACTGTGGAAGTCCCTCCCTGTTATTTATAAAAATAATGAAAAAAAAAAACCAGAAAATTATATTCAATTTCTGTGAGTGCCATTTCCGGCCTAGAGGTGCCATAATCATAATTTTTCCTTACCTCAGCCACCAGCATGGTGAGGCTGAGGTGTGAGTGGACGCTCTGTGCAAGTCCCCCCATAGGATCCCCTCTATTACGAATTTCTGTACCCGTCACTGTTGAAGTATCATTTCCTGCTCCTAGAAAGGAATTTTGTACTCATTTGGGAAAAAGAGACGGTTTCGTAGTGAATATCCATATCAAGGATACCCTCATGATGGTAATTCATTGTGATCGTGGAAGTCGACATTACAACAATTATCAAATTGCAACAGATGAAGTCACATTACAGTACTTGATGCATATAAAATAACTAATAAAATTCACACCAAACTTAGTCAAATATCCGGGGCCTTTGGCAGCCCCTTGGCCCGGTCCCAGCCTAGATGCTCGCTTCGCTCACATACTTGATTTATTACCTTATAAAATTCCCCCACCACCCACATCACTTTCAAAAACGTTCCGCCACCGTTCTCTACAATGTAGTCCCTAATTCCTCAGGGGAAGAATTAGAGACGATGGCGTTAATTTGATTAAATTTGACGCTTTAGTTATGTAATTTCATCTATTTTATATCAATCAATCAATCAATCGATGGATTTATAAATCGCATAATACAGCTGTTATGCGCCTTATAAAAAAATAAAGACCAATGAAGTAAAGCAAGCAAACAAAGTGGGTGCGATACCAATTGTCATCAGGGTACATCACATGCAATACAGTCTCTGGTACTGGCATTTGTGATTCTTTTTCAATCAAAATGAAATTTAAAAAAAATGTATGACAAATGAACAACAGATAACTAATTTTACGAAGCATTACAACAGTTCTTAAGTTTATTGTAGGAAGCCTGTATGAATAGTATGGCCTTTACGTCCATGTTTATGGTGGTGATATATTATTTTTTATTTGCATTGTTCTTCAATTATTTAATAGCTTATGATGTCACTACACTTTGTAAACCTATTTGGAAAAATTATTATTTGTTTCTCTCACGTTTGAGAGTGTACAAAGGAAAAGGGGACTCACGTTTCTGTAGCCAAATGTTCCTTTGCGCACACATGCAAAACAAGACAAGAGACAGCACAATCAAAAGAGGAGAACAGTAATTAACAATTAATCAGACAACTCTGAAAACCAACTAGAAAGATAATAGATTAATAATAATAATACAGTAATAATAATAATAATAATAATAATAATAATTATAAGAATAATGATGATAATATTAATAATAATATTCACAATAATAATAATAATAATGGTGATGATGATGATGATAATAGTAGTAGTAGTAATAATAATAAATAATAATAATAATAATAATAATAATAATAATAATAATAATAATAATAATAATAATAATAATAACAAAATATTATTATTATTATTATCATTAGTATTATTTATAATAATAATCTACTTGGTTAAAACACTGAAGGTTTTACAATTGTAAAACGTCAGCTTCAGGTTTTCTGCACATTTTTTGAAGTTTTCCAGTCAATTTCCTGAACAATTATAATAATAATAATAATAATAATAATAAATATAATCTAGGCCTGTATAAAATAACGATGAACTTAATATGATAAATATTGCAAATGAATGTATTTCATTCATTACACGCATAGGCCTACCAATCACAGAACCTATATACATGTATGTAGGGTCTGCGATTAATTTTACATATTTTCTAAATATTCATATCCATGTATATCATATTAAGAAGTTGCAAAATGCAAATAAAAACCAATGTTCACGTGATGTTAAACAGCTTAATAATGAGGCAATGATGGTAATTGTAACTATATAAAATTATATTTTGAAAAAGAAAAAACAATTTTGTTTTTAAGAAAATTTGATGAAATGTGTTATAATATTGTTACTTGTGTGTGTAGGCCGATTGTATTAAGTTGCATCTGTCATCCAAATTCCAACTACTATTTCATGGATCTGTAAAGTACACCATATTGCAAAATTATTTTTGATCTGTACTGTATTATGCCCATGCTTACTAGGAACTAAAAGAAAATAATCACTACGCAATGAAGTAAACAAATTGAATCTTTTCTCCCAAGAAATTTCGGCTTGTGAAATGGGAAGTGCAGGCTTCCTGTTCATGACAATAAGGAAGATGTGTCTAATGGCTTTAGCAGGTTATTTCGTTGAAGCAATTATTTTTAATTATTTATCAATTCAGTTATTATTGTCCAACGAGTTTTCATATTTTTTTTCAGGCTTGCCCAACTCAAAACTTCTCTTTTTGGGACCGAGCCTTCCTTCATTGCATGTTTTCATTCTCATTTTTTCTTTTATGATTTTGTATATTGTTTTTGAAACTCATGTCAATGAAGGAAAATAAATGTTAGTATTTTCCAGGGATTACATGGGTTTCTTTTGAACCAGCCACGATAGAAGAAATCATAACACTTATTGAAAAGTCTTCATCTGCTTTCTGTGATATTGATCCACTACCTACAAACATATTTAAAGAAGATAAAATACTTCATATTTTGGCCTACGTACTGGATTTGTACCTGATGGAATGAAACGCACCCTGATAAAACCTCTACTGAAAAGGCTTCTATGGATCCTAATATCTTGGACAACTATCTTCTTATATCTAATATTTCGTTCATTTCAAAAATGTTAGAACGTATAGTTGAATCCAGAATAAAAATGTATTTAATTGTAAGGAATTCCCCTTAAATGAACGGTTTCAATCGGCTCTCTTAAGTTTAATAATAGTACAGGCCGTCCGCACTGGAACACCTTCTATCTATGATGTCTAAATGTAGTACCTACAGTGGTGTCACGGAGTTCGTGTGGCCTGGTGGTGACTGCTAATGGGGGCCCTAATAAGCTAGCGAAGCGAGCGTTAAGTTTGCAAGCGGAGCGGACAAACAGACACTTGGGGCCAGGGGCCACGTAGGGCCCCTGATTGGATTCGCCCCTCGCGTTCAGAGCTTGTGGCATTTATGAACTGTTAACTGCTTTGTCAGAGAATACAAAATGGTCCAAAAAAAAAAAACAAAAAAAAAAAAACTGCAGCGATCGTTTACATGAGCCCTGAGATAACGCTGTTTGATAATGCCAGGCCGCGCCCCACCGCACACCCTACCCGCTTGTCAGAGCCCGAGCTTCACGCCACTGAGTAACTAAATCCTGTGGGGGATAAAGGAGAGACGATGGCGTTAATTTGAATAAATTTGAGGCTTTAGTTATGTAATTTTATATCACATACAATACAGTCTTTGTGACTGGCAATTGTGATTCAATCAAACGAAACTTGAAGAAAATGTACTACCAAAAGAAAAAGATAAACAGCAGATAACTAAGTTAAAGAAACATTACAACAGTTCGTTAGTTTATCATAAGAAGCCTATGTATAAATAGATGGCCGTTACGTCCATGTTTATCATAATGATATATTATTTTTTTTTATTTGCATTGTTCTCAAATTATAGTCTAATAACTAATGACGTCATTAACCTTTACAAACCTATTTTGGAAAACCAACTGTTGACAGTTATGTGACGGTAAAATAAATACCCACAAACATCTAGTAGGCCTAAGATAATAGGTTATCAATAATAACTTTTTTATAATGATAATGGTGATGATGTTGATGATAATAATAATAATAATAATAATAATATACTAATATTATGATCATTTTCATCATACGATTCAGGTATAGGCCTACATGCAAATATAGTCCCAAACGATTGTAATTTAATTTGTTTACAATGAAGGTTAGAATTAGAACTAAACGTAGCAAAACCGAAACAGAATACGATACACAACACACTCCTATATTTGTCGAAGAGCGCACCACAATATAGAAACAATCTACCTTATTGGATACATTGTTTAGTATAACAATTCTATAATATTATGGATAAATATGTGAAAGCCATACGAGGTAATAAATTCGTGTCTCTCATCCCGATCCATCAGTTGCCTGCTATACAGCAATGCTGGTTTGTTAATCAATGTTTATAGTCGCTAATCACGAAATCAGGGATATCTTCCAGTTCGGATAATGACTTCATCAAAATTGCTGTGACGTTTAATTTTTACTATTTAAGGAGTTCATTTTTGTATTTGGCTGTTTTGAACTTTCAAAGCTTTTGTAAGTAATTTGTGAACAGCAGGTGTCTCAGTAGGCTGAACTACCGATATTTAACTACAGCGTAAGTGAAAACAAAACATTCAAATTTTGGTTTTCTAAACAAATCAGCACAACTACCACTGTTAACACAATCATTAACATAATTATTAGTATCATTTTCATCATCGTTATAACATAATCACCAACATCATTATTATCATCATTATCAATATCAACATTATCAACATCATCATCATCATAATCATCATCATCATCATCATCACTATCAACACCATCACCAACATCAGTATTATCACTATTAACATCATCAACATCAACATCATCATCAACATAATCACCAACATTTTTATCATCATCATCATCTTCATCATTGTCGCCATTATCATGATCTTCATCAACAAAGATTATACTAATAAAAATTGACAACGTTCTATTTTTATCTTTCAGCAGGTTAAGTCGCGTTAATCGTGTAGGCCCATGCAGATATGACTTCATCTTGGTATATGGTCATTCTCATAGTGATCTATATTTGTAGGTTAATGGTAAAATCTGAAAAAATAACGTGTTCCACACGCAGCGGCATTGTTTATTGTGTAGCAGCACCAGAGAACGAACTAGATTGTGTAAATAAGGACCTACGTAAAATACCAAAATGCAATAAACAAGGAGTTAAATTCTTGAATCTAAGAAAGAACTATATTGAAACATTTAGAGATGACATTTCAAGGTATAATGATACGTTAAAGAGGTTGAGTCTAGAGAATAATGAACTAACGGGTATACCGAGATTAGGGCGCTTTCCGAAGCTGGAGGAATTGGAATTACATATTAACCAAATAACTTCAGTTCATGAAGGCGCATTTCAAGAAATGAAGCAAATTGAATGTATCAATTTAGGCTCCAATCGATTAGCTAATATCGAACCGTTAACGTTTCAAAATCTTCAACGGCTTCGAGTTGTAATTTTGGGTAACAACAGCTTGACATCATTACCCGCAAACAGCTTTGAAAACACAGACCTGAGAAAGTTGGATTTATCACGAAACAAGTTATCATACGTAAACCAAGATACTTTCCAAGGCCTTAAACTACTAGAATCGCTTGATTTGCGTTTCAACAACCTCAAACAATTTCCAGTTGAGACATTCATTATTCTGATATCACTAGAACGATTCAATCTTTCAGAAAACCCAATCGATTGTAATTGTCAGTCCGAAACTGCTGCATTGTCGTCGTGGTTTTATGTCAAGCAACAATGGACACCTAGCACATGTGACAACGGAGTGGACTTCGTTAATCTTTTCAAAGAATGCGATGATCGTGAGTTCAAGAGAAGTTCCAGATCATTTGGAATTGTCCCGATAGGTATTTCGGTTACCGGTGCGATATTGATTTTAAATCTGATAACTTGCTTATGTTGCAAGTGCAAGAAACAGCGAAGAATAAAACGTATGTTTCCTTCTGAAATGCGTAGGCTTCAACGCCACACGTGTTGCCAAGTTGAACCTTATAGAATGGAACTTACGGACATCCCACACTGTTCTTTTCCACATTTTAGAATGTCCAGCGTTGTCCCGAGGGATAATATACTGGCGCGTCGAAACGAACCGCTTTCATCAATCGAACCTGGGGTTTCTAGGGAAGCCTTACTATCTTCGGTGGATACCCTTGGCTATCTACGTATGTCGAGATCAAACTCACGGCGGCATGAGATGTCGGTTCCAATGCGGCGACGCATTGGAAACACCTACTGCTCATGTGGCCGTACTTTCTACATTCCCACGCCATGCCAACATAGGCCCACTCCACACAGAAATGAAAATGATTTTACATATGTAGACCAATGTGTATATGTTCCAGAAATTAGTTCTGAAAGTCGATCAATCCGATCTAGTTCCGTTCTTCCTCAGAGGCATGTCGTGGTCCGACTCAGCGGCGATGAACAATATTACGATGAAGGGAATCAATTTTTGGAGACTCGAAGTAGAGGCGAGCGGCAGCGTAGCACACATTATCACGGAACACGTATTTCGCATACGCCTATTATACGTCATATTTCCGGCAGACAAACGCGGACGGCCGAGGAGGTCTCAACTGACAGACTGAACCAATATGAAAATGAATGTGATTTCTGGAGTGAAGATGATTCCAATCCAGCAATAATTTATCAAAACATCCTTCAAACCCACACTTTTGAACAAAGTGAATTCTCAATATATATGAAGTCTCTTATACACATCTAGATGTGTATAAGAGACAGTTCAAAGCTTTTGTAAGTAATTTACCAAAAATTGAATGCTATGACCATAAGGAGCATGTAAAAAAAAATTGGTGCTTTTGTCCGGAACGTCCACATTAAGTCCAAATATGGCCCTAAGCTGCCGTACTATATGAAGAATATGTGTCCATGTGTGTTCCGGAACATATAAAATATAATACTGTGCAACTGTAATAAAAACTCAGATGCGTAAACTTAAGAAACACTAACATTTATTGCAACGAATATTTCCACTACGGTACTTCTGCAGTCTTTGTCAACAAGGCGCTTGACTATTAATTTAAAAAATTGCCGAAACCGGTATTCGAACAGTCACTATGCTGAAAAATTCCTAGAAGAGGACGAAATATTCGTTAAAACAAATTATATAATGCTCCCAAATGCGTCAACCCTTTTATCACGTGCCTCCGGCAAAACACACTGTTCTGTATAATACGTGGAACAATGTCTAATTTATATATATCATATATACAATATATATATATATATATGTATATATATATATATATATATATATAAATAATTATTTTGCGACTGTCTACAACTGAAAATCTCATTGATTTTTTTTTTAACTTTGCAGCTAATTTCAGTCTATTGCATTTAATTTAAAATAATCTTTTTTTTTTTTTATAGGCACAGCTCCGCATATTGGGATCTATTATTAGAAAATGATTAATACTGTAATAAAAAAAATGGTTTGCAGGTAGAAAATAGCAATTTTCTGACTCATTGTTGACATATTTTCAGGTAACGGTCTGGTGCGCCAACCCCTCTCCACACCGGTATTGCTATCTACAAAGATAGTCTGTTGTATGCAATAAATCCGTATCTGAAATAGGTTTTTTGTTGAAAAGTACCAAAGCGTGCAATCCGTTGCCTAAGCACTAATGCCATTTATTGTGAAATTTTGGTTCAAAGTATATCGACTTAGTTTGCTGGTTTGTTGTTGCAGAGCTTGTAACTGACTATGTAAATGACTGACTATGTAAATGACTGACTATGTAAATGTTAGAAATTAAAGCAATGTCACACCTGTCCACTGACTGAGAATGGTAAAAATCAAACCAATACAGTTGTAATCAATCTTGAACTTTGGAACACCCTCTCAAATTAATTAATATTTTTATTATAAAAAAAAATAATTTTCTGAATTTTTACTAGCTGTGTTTTGATATAATAGGCGTATTTTAACACATTCATCCTGTATGTGTGCGTAAACAGGGAAACAAGACATGTCGGGACGTGGTATTGATTTAACGGTTACACGTATATTTTTAAGCATGCGTTTTCATTTATGTCTTGGCTCAAAACGCTGCATAGGCCTACTGGTACATCTCGCTAACATTTTAATTGAAAGCCAAATGTGGCTCAAGCAATAATATATAATATGAAAATGCTCTGTTAAGATAAATGTACAATAAAACAGAGATGATTCATAAGTCTGCATCTCCTAAATATGTGCTGTAGTCTTCGGTTGGTTCCTGAGGCGATGACGTGGAGTTTTCTTTTCCGCCTTCACTGCCTTTTAGCCAGGTTAAAAAGCTGCGGATTATAAAACAAACGTTTTAACACTGTTAAATAAGCAAGACCAAAACAAACATAGGTACCGCAAAACATCACTTCTATGGAATTTTTGACACAAACAACATCGTAAAAGACAAAATATCCAGATGCGTGCGACACAGAATGACAAATATTTATTTGCTTTGAGCATAAAAATTTAACAAAAATATAAATGTACACAAATTCATTTTTGAATATAAAAGAAAATGGGAAATTCTTGAAGCATAGCTTGTAAATGGTAAACCTAATTTACACAATTAAATACTTCTTTAACATATTCGGCTCAAAAATAATAATTCATACGCCTATTTTAATTAAAGTAGAGAAGTTTAAAATTCGAAGGAAAATTTTTATAATGAGCATTCTATTCTAATAGGTAAAAAAATCTGCTTTTGCAACTGTCGTACGAACTTTCTTTTGTAAAACAAATAAAAATTCTAACGTAGTTTTATAAATGTTTCTCAACACTTCACAGCAATAGGTCATATAAGGCAACACTTATATGTTATATATGGTAAATAGTACTTTGATTTTTAGCAGTCGTTTGAATATTTTTAGCAATTTTTGTAGCAATTTAACGTGACTATTCCAGTTTAAATTGTCTATTTGCACGGCAAGAAATTTTGTACTGTAGACCCGACCCGTTCAAGTTAAACACCATTTATAATTATTTTCGTTTCATTAACTACATTTTTAGAATATAAATGATATAATTACTTTTCTTAATGTATGAGAGTTTATTTACCACAAACCACGTGGACAACTTGTTCAACTCCATACTTACTAAATCACATAATTTTTGTAAGCGCGGAGCATGTTAAATTAGTGTCATCTGCGAATAAGATATAACTAAAAAAAGGAGATACTCGACAAATGTCATTTATGTAAAGTAAAAATATGAATGTCCCAGAATCGTTTGTGTTCTTTGACACAAATAAGTTTTTAGCCACTTCGCAGTTCTGACCCCCATGTACTTTCTCTCATGCAACTGAATGAAAAGATCACACATAGTGGAGCTTAGTCGCAGCTGGGAAATAATAGTAAATAGTATAAAATCAAGTTTGGAACATGGTGATACATGACAACTTCATTTGAATATTAATTAACCAGAACGTAGCCTCCCCTCCCCCCACCCCCTACACATGTATGTATTACAGTACAATATTACAAAATGCACATTAAAGCCAAGCACTAAACGTACGATACATAACACTAGTTGATGAGTATCTATAGCAGTGGGTGGAACATGCGTGCGTTTTTATGCTTAAAGCCAAAATGGTCAGGTTACACGCACCATGGATATGCGTGAATAAAAGTTGCTGTTCTACTGTTCATTTCGGCGTTTTCGCATTAGAATATAACTATACAGATATATCCATACG